GGCACAGCTAGAGGTGACAGTTAGCTCTGCCCAATTGTGTAGTTTGCCACCATCTGATAGGCGAGACATGATTGGGCAGAGTCATCATACCATGCACTAAAGGGTTTTTTATTGCAGTGGTAGACTGGTAGCATCAGAGCTATATGTCCTCAAAAAATAGAGTTCCTTAGTGATTCTTTAGAACAACTGGACCCTTGAGCAGAGCTTTATTAACTCTCCAAGTGGAAAGGGGTCTAGTCTCGTGTAGAACAGAAAAAGCGCAATAAAAGGGGGGAGTGATGATACCACAGTTGAGTCCCAATTCGACTTACCCACAGAGGAGTCCAACGGCTATTTCCAAGACAAATTTCAAATCGCCTCCAACAATCATATCATATTTTTTTTTTTTTTTTTATTTATAAAACAAGTCAAAAACAAACACACAGTAGGGCTGTATCCAAGTCAGCTAAATCAAACCAACAGAACAGATAACTGTGGGCAAGATCAGAAATGGTATCTACTTTTCAAACAAAGGCAGAGAATGGTGCGCATATCCAGAAAGTTATTGCCAACGGAAGCAAAATTCATATCGTATTTAATGAAAATGAAATTTAATGGAAATAATCTCCCATCAGGATCCAAAAGAACTGCGATAACAGAGACAGTTAAGGTCGAATTAAATCATATGGCAACCCCCTTAGTTTTCTTAACAGGGTTATTACTGGGAAACCAAGTATTATAGTCTCCTGTAAAAATAAAATGCCATAGAACAGTTTGTAGTGTTTTTTTAGGCCTGTTAAATTCTTGCACATTGAGCAAACCCAACTTTAGAGTAGCCATTTTGGTCAGTTATGAAAACGTAGCTTAGAAGCATATTTCTCAGGCTAGCAACCTCAGAAAAAAATACTTAACCACTTTCTGTCCAGAGCAATTTCTTGCTATTTGCTACATGATAAAATCTGAATTTTTGGCTAGAAAACATCTTCAGACCCCCAAGCAAGTATATATTTTCTGAAAGCAGAGGCCCTGTAGAATAAAAAAATGCTAGTTTTTTTCATGTTGCACAGTATTTGCGCAAATGTTTATCAAACCAGTATTTTAGACTAAAATACACTAAAATTTAATTTAGTGCAAATAAACAGAATATAATGCTCAATTTTTGGTAAAATATAAAAGATGGGGTTGCGCTGACTAAATTGATAGCAAAAATGTTAAGCGTTAAAATTGCATGAGTCCTTGAAACCGCAAAAAAACTACAATACCCCAAATTTCCCATAGGCCACGCTTTTTCCCCATAGGCCACGCTTTTTCCCCATAGGCGATGCCCGATGCTCGCTGCGTTATGTAACATGTTTTTTCATGTAGACGCATCCGACATGTGTTTGCACTTGTATGTACGTGCACGTGGGGTCAGGGGACTTTTTTGCTAACAAGCCCCCTATGTAATAGCAAATATAATATGAATGTGTTAAAAAAATAGAACCATTATGAACAAAATGCAGAGCATGGTAGACAAGGAATTGCTGACATTAGGGACAAAGTGGTCACATCATTAGCCATTGTGGAAGCCCGGGAGGAATGGTGACCCCTGTAACTAACTTGTTACTCCGTGGTGACGCCCAAGGCCCCCCCAATAGTGGCACACACCCTAAACCAAACCTGATACTTGTTGAATTCATAAAAAAGGGTTATGTAAAGGGGGAATATGGTTAGACAGCATGGCAAACAGGAGGATGTAGGTGTGGCCATAACTGTATTGAGTTCATGAAAACAGTGGAACGTAGTGAAAGCCCACACATTTTTTTTTTTACATCACAGGTCCCTCCTAACATTCCAACCAGATGTAAATGGCCTGATAGGATGTGGGAGGGGGACCCCACCCCATGATAACTACTGGAATGACCTGGGAAGCTCAGGGGTCAAAATATATAGTGCCTGTGCTATATACACTGAGTGGCCAGATTATTATGACCACCTGACGTTTGTAGGCAAATTAGTTATAATTAGCTATAATTTCGAGATGAAGTTGCTAGAGGGCAAGACCATTATAAATAGGGAAGCAGGTTGTTTACCACGACAGTAGAAGTGATTTTTTTCTGAAGATATGGGTAAACAATGCGATTTACAGCCTTTGAACGTGGGATGATTGTTGGCGCTCAGAGCCATGGAGCGAGTATCAGCAAAACAGCAGAATTCGTTAAATGTTCAAGAGCAGCTGTTGTTAAAGTGTTTAAAGACTGGACTGTCAGTGAAAATCTGGGTCTGAACGTGCGAATTGTGGCCGTCAGCGACTAGTCAATGTTAGGGCAGAACGGAGAGTGGCAAGACTGGTACAAGACAACAGAAGGACAACAGTGCAGTGTCAGATTCCTCGCATCACCTTTCAACATCTCGTGGAGTCACGAGGCAGCCCAACGAAGTCATCTCGTGGAGTCATCTCGTGGCCCAACGAAGTACTGATGGGGTGGTCATAATAATCTGGCCACTCAGTATAATATATATATATATGTGTGTGTGTGTATATATACACACTATATTGCAAAAAGTATTGCGACACCGGCCTTTACACGCACATGAACTTTAATGGCATCTAGAGCTGCAGCTAACGATTATTTTCAAAATCGATTAGTTAGCCGATTATTAAGTTCGATTAATCGGTTAATCGGATAAACAATAAAATAACGTTTAAAAAATGGCTCCAGTGATGGGACTACTAGTTTGTATTGAGGTTGTAGTCCATCACAGGAGCAAGCTTGGAGCGGTGGAAGTAAAAAAAAAAAAAAAGATAGTGTGGTGTGCAATATAGTGAAATGGAAAGTGTAAAATTATACAGCAATGAATGCAGAATGGCACCGGCTATAGAGGACTACAAATCCCAGCAATAATACATTATACAGCGCAATGCAGAATACCACCAGCTGTAGAAGAGTACAACAAATCCCAGCAATAATACATTATAAAGTGGTACAATGCTAAATACCACCAGCTATAGAGGACTACAAAACCCAGCAATAGTACATTATACAGCGCAATGCAGAATGCCGCCAGCTATTATGTACTATTTCTGGGATTTGTTGTATTCCTCTATAGCTGGTGGTATTCTGCATTGCGCTGTATAATGTATTATTGCTGGGACTTGTAGTCCTCTATACAGCGCAATGCAGAATATCACCAGCTATAGAGGAGTACAACAAATCCCAGCAGTACATTATACATACATTGTATAATGTATTGCTGGGATTTGTATTCCCATGTAGAATAAACTGCACAATGTACCATCAGCTATAGAGAAATACAAATCCCAGCAATACATTATAGAGCACCATGTGTGGGAAAGTGCAGTCTTCCAGCAACTTGCTTCTGAGATCGGACCTGTCATCCCCCCACACCTGCTCCTCCTTACTACATCTCCCCGCGTCCCTGTGCCGATCGTGGATGTGGATGGGCAGGAAATGTGAGGCGGGGAGGAGGTGCGGCGTGTGGATGCAAGCGGGTCTGGCAGTGGCGAGCGTGAGGAGGAGGTTGCGGCGCACAGCGCGTGGAGCTCTGAACAGGGTCAACTGATTGGAAGCCGATTAATCGATTATTGAAAAAGTTGACAACTTTTTCAATAATCGATTATAATCGATTATGTCGATTAGTTGTTGCAGCCCTAATGGCATCCCTGTCTTAGTTCGTAGGGTTCGATATTGAGTTGGCCCACCCTTTGCCGCTATAACAGCTTTAACTCTTCTGGGAAGGCTGTCCACAAGGTTTAGGTTTCTATGGGAATGTTTGACCATTACTCCAGAAGCACATTTGTGAGGTCAGGTACTGATGTTGGACGAGAAGGCCTGGCTCACAGCCTCCGCTTTAATAATCCCAAAGGTGATCTATCGGGTTGAGGTCAGGACTCTGTGCAGGCCAGTCAAGTTCCTACACTCCAAACTCGCTCATCCATGTCTTTATGGACCTTGCTTTGTGCACTGGTGCACAGCCATGTTGGAACAGGAAGGAGCCACCCCTTGTCCAAAATGTCTTGGTATGCTGATGCCTTAAGAGTTCCCTTCACTGGAACTAAGGGGCCAAGCCCAACCCCTGATAAACTACCCCACACCATAATCCCCACTCCACCAAACTTTACACTTGGCACAATTCAGTCAGGCAAGTACCGTTCTAATGGCAACCACCAAAGCCAGACACATCCTTCGGATTGCCAGACAGGGAAGCGTGATTCATCACTCCAGAGAACACGTCTCCACTTCTCTAGAGTTCAACGGCGGCTTGCTTTACACCACTGCATCCAACGCTTTGCATTGCACTTGGTGATGTAAGGCTTGGATGCAGCTGCTCGGCATGGAAACCCATTCCATGAAGCTCTCTATGCACTGTTGTTGTGCCAATCTGAAGTTTGGAGGTCTGTAGCTATTGCCTCTGCAGACAGTTGGCGACTTCTGCGCACTGTGCGCCTCAGCATGCACTGACCCCGCTCTGTCATTTTACGTGGCCTACCACTTCGTGGCTGAGTTGCTGTTGTTCCCAGTTGCTTCCACTTTGTTATAATACCACTAACAGTTCACCATGGAATATTTAGTAGCGAGGCAATCTCACGGAACACCTAAATCCACTGATTTGGAGGGGTGTCCCAATACTTTTGGCAATATAGTGTGTATGTATGCATGTATATATAAATATATGTGTGTGTGTGTGTGTGTATATATTGCTGTGAATTTTGGAAGATAATAGAGGGAGGAATTATGGTGGGTTGCCATTAGAGACAATGGTACACATAGTTCTATCTATGACCCATATCACTTTTAGGTGGACTGACCCTTTTGCAGTTATGTGCAGCTGACAAATCTGCAGTAATTTTTACTAGTAATATCTATGTAATGATTTGACCATGTTTACATATTGCATATTATTTATTCAGTTACGTTAATCCAATAGCTACATATACACATACTAACAAAACAACTAAGGATGTTTTCATCTCATTAGTGCCATCATCAAGGAAATCAAAAGGAGTAGGGCGGTGTGTTTTAGATGTTTCTGTTGTTCTGGATGTTGTTGCTTTGAATGTTGTTGTTGCTCTGGATGTTGTTGTTGTTGCTCTGGATGTTGCTGCTCTGGATGTTGCTGTTGTTCTGGATGTTGTTGTTATTGCTCTGAATGTTGTTGTTGCTCTGTGTTCAGTTGTTGACTTGTATTCAGTTGTGGATCTGTATGCAGTTGATGGAACTGTAGTTGTTGGTGACGGTGTCGTAGTAGGTTCTATAGGTGGTATAAGCAATGCTGCTTGTGCTATGTTAGACACATCAGACTGCTGGGATACTTTATCTACTGCAATTATAGAAAAATATAGTATAGTTCCATTTTCTATAGTAACATTGTCTGGTACAAATGTAAACATTTCCCTGGACCCAGCTATGCGCGGAATCAGACTGGAAACATTAACTGAGGTGGCATTGGAAAAGTTGTTCAGTAGCTCACTTGGATCAGTACTCATTCGCAAGACGTAACTAGAAGCTGTAACACAAACATAGCATAGGGTCACCATCACATGAAAATTTTCCATAGTTATTTCAATCCCACATTTAGACATTTAAAGGTTATTTAGGAAAAATATGGAAACACTCTGAGCAGCCAGATGATAGCAGACCACTGTCATTTATTTTTAACTAGTCAAAAATAAAGTAGATTCCAAACCAATTACTAGAATCTCTTATAAGCTTTAACAATGTAATTTTAAAAGTTGCTTTTGTAACCTGCAGTTCTCAGTAAATGAACACTTGGTGATGCTGCCATGTAGGTCCTTGTTCAAGTATTTTCTGTTATGGGGTGACAACTGTCTCCCGGTGGTGCAGCTACATCATCACTCTGCCACATGTTCCCCTGATGGACACCACAAGTGACCGTGCTGACCCATATTGGGCAGGCATGGTCCACAGTTGTCACTAGCAGTAAACTGGGCCAGAGCAATGATATGCAGCTGATGCTGTTGCAAGTGCATGTAGACAAAAAGTGTCTGAAAAAGGCTGAAGAAAAGCTGCACACTGAGATGGAATATACATTTAAAAAAAGGTGAAAAACAGTTGCAGTTGTTTATTATACACGGGGCTTTAGTAAACTAAATATCATCTAGTTATAGGTCTATTTAAAGGCTATGTGAAATCCGTAGACAACATTTTTACATGTTGCCAATTACTGTTCCTTACATGTGGTGACTGCATTAGTTTTCTTTTGTTTTTGTTTTTTTCTTCTTCTATTTTAACCTGATCATCCTGCAAATAACACACTTTGTGTCCTAGCATGACGACACTCACTTCATTGTATCAGTTCACAGGAAGTGGCAGGGGCATTGTATTTCTAGCAAGCTCAACAGGAATTTTCTGTACCTGCTGAAAATCTTCATAGTCTGAAGAAAGAAAACTAATGCAGCCACCACGTCTAAGGCCTGGTAAGCTGCAATATATAAAAAAAAATTATTTGATAGGAACAAAAATGTATTAATTTGTGTTTAGATATCATTTATCTGGTTCACAATGAATGAGATATTGGGCAAATAAGAAAATCAGATTAATTCACTAAGCTATAAAGATGATTACACTTTTCACAGGACAAAATACTACAAGCTGCCTTGTGTTGCTTTTTCTTTATACTATATTCAGAAGCTAAAACTTTTTTTGTAGTTTTAAAAGCAAAAGGGCAAAGGGCAAAAACCTCTGGCAGGTTTTAATTTCTGTCGGTGTCCTTTGTTGAATAGAGTTTTCTGTCATATTTCTCATCTTTCCCTGTAGAGCTCATTTGTCTTCCTTCTTTGTCTGACTTCCACTGCCTGGACAGGAAGTGAGATAAAATCTCCTTCATGTGGACACAGACAGCAGTAAAGTCCTGATAGACATTCGCAAACTTTCTCACGCTACTAGAAAATTCATTTTTACTGTAGCTTGTGTGGCACATCCGTGGTTTCTTTCCTCCCCGCTGGGTGCTGCTCTGTGTCCCAGCGGGGAGGAGAGAAAGTGACAGCCGGCAGAGCGCTGTGGGAGGAGAGCGCTGTGAGCGGCCGGTGTCTCTCTTCCCACACTGCTCAGCCGCCTCTCACAGTCCGGCAGAGCAGTGTGGGGGCGGAGACAGCCCACGTTGTCACAGGAGGCTGGGCTCTCCTCCCTGCTCTGCTAGCTCAGCCTCCTGTGATAGTGTGTCAGAGAGGAGAGCGAGCACAAACACTCAGCGATCAGTGATGTTTGTAGATAATTGAGGACATGGTATGGTTACTACCGTATATCCTCAATTATGAATGAATGGGAGTGATCTACATCACCTCCTGTTCATTCATAGTTGTTGTTATAGTAAACATACCATGTCCTCATGTTATCAATGAACAGGAACACTCATAAAGGATCTCTTTTTCATCCAGAAAAAGAGATTATATCAGGGGTCTGTTTAGAGGATTGGGAAGATTTTCACTCACTGTTCTGTCAGGTAAAAAGTCAGGTAAAATCTCCCAAATGGGAACACAGGCAGCAATTGAAAGGTGATTGACATTTTGACCAAAACAGTAAAAAAGATTTAGTGGCAGTTGAGCAATAAGGAAGAAGGGGTTATAGACTTTGGCAGGATCACAAGCATTACATTGGCCTTAGAAACCTGTCACTATCATGACCACAGAGGGTCACTCACCGCTCCCTTGGTCCAAGTCATCTCCAGTTGCTGTCCAGGATAAAACAACTGTATAATTAATTATTTGTCCCATCAAGTCTGTTATCTTGTCTGGTCTGTAGATGTCTCCTGGGATAACGGCAGGAACATCAGAGACCACAAATGAGCCACCAGAAACTATCCTGCTAAAGTCTCCCACGGGGATGCTTGTAATATTAACAGCATTAGTTGCAGGGTCTGGAGGATTCAGAATGAGAGTACCTGTGATAAAGAAGAGAAGATAACATTTTAATATTGTCAAAAAAATCTAATGCTGTAGAAACCTGTAAACAAAATGAGACAAAAGGTAACAGGCAATATGAAGGTTGGATTGGTGGCTTTCTTTGCATTGCTAGTGTTCCAGATTAAGCACTAACTATATAACTGTGTGAAATATGTTTCTCTATGAACTTCCCACAATCCCCTGCACACCAGAAATCAGGCTGGGTTTAGAAAAAGCCAAACAGATACAGAAATATCACACAGAAATAGCATCCTGTTAGCATGCAGTTTGCACAGAAATCACTGCAAAATATGCTGTGCTTGGTAGTTCTGCCAGTAGGTGGTGGTATTAAATGCGGGCTACCCCACACTGCAAGGGTTTAGTTACATATTTAGTCAGGTTGAAAAAAGACACAAGTCCATCGAGTTCATAAAACTGAACACTGAAAATGTTTTTTTTTTTTAATATTTAATAGCCCTCCAAGTGGTGGCCTGTGTAAAGACAAATGTTTAACACTGTCAATAGCAAGTTTCTATAGTAGGTTGCCACCTTTTCTTTAAGTGAAATCTGAACACTCTAGCGCCACTTTTTTTTTTTAGACTATAGAGGAGAGGCAGCCAGGAGAAAGAGCAAGAAGACACAGCCAGGGGAGGGAGTAAGGAGACTGGCTACAGAGGACTACAAATCCCAGCAATACATTATACAGTAATACAAAATAATATGAAGCGACATACTCTGTATTGTTCCGGTGTGATGCTCTGATGTCTCAGGTCTCAGGTAGCCTGTGCAGGATATCTACAGGGCTATGTGGGCTCTCAGGTGGATTCTGCAGGCTCTCAGGTGGGCTATGCACGCGCTTAGGTGGGCTATGCGGGCTCACAGATGACTGTGTGGGGTCTCAGGTGGGCTGCGCCAGAAGTTCAAGGGTCTCACCTGAGGACCGGAGGCAGGCAGTATGCTGTCAGGAAAGAACCGGAGGAGATGTGCGGGCCGGTATCTGTTTACAGGTGCCCGAGGCTCACAGGAAGATGTGGCTGCCTGAGGTCTCGTTTTTCTGGGGACCTCAGGCAGCCGCATCTGACGAAAAATTTATTGACACTTAGTAGCTTGTGTCAGCTGGCCTGACATCCGGACACAAAACTCCAAAACCAAACTGTCCGGGTGAATCCCAGACAGGTGGCAACCCTACTCTATAGTGAATCAAATTATTTGCTGATTCAGCTGTGTATGGGCACATACATTTCTGTGAACAAATGAAAAATGCACTGTAGTTACAATAAGGTTAATAGTAAAGGAACAAGGAATATCTAAATGCCACTTGACTCAGCCAATGTGCAGGCCACCCTTTTCTACAAATGTGTTTTTTAAAGAGAATGAATGCCCCACAGCTAGTTTGTGGCTAAATTGGTTTGGAATGTAGCTTTCACTGCTCTATAATTATGCCGCTTAGCTTTAAAGCGCATACAATAATATGTTACTGTTATTAGTTCAAATCTTTGCGAGCATATATGGTCAGTTCTTACCATTGTCTACATATCCAGGTACATAGAAAGCACCATTTGTAGGTAAGGCATAATCACTGCTGTCTTTACCCTCCACACGGACCTTTAAACTATACCTTCCGTTTATTGTAAAGGCTGTGAAATATCTTGAGTAGATGCCATCATTTTTAATAAGATCAGCACCTGTAAAATGAATAGAATGATTTAAAGAGAGCATGTTTTTTCAATATACAATGCCAATAGGACAACCCTAAACCAGTAAAGATAACATATCGAAGATTTTATTTTAATTTCATATATAAAAAGCATATATACTCTGGTTATTGTGTCAGCATCTTTTTACCTGTCTCATTTAGGAAGATATTACTGCTGAAGTAGCCAAAAAGGAACCATTTCAGGAGTAGTGTTGGGCTCCATGTTCGAGTTGAACAAGAGTTCGACTCGAACATCACTAGTTCTTGTGTTCACCTTGTGAAGCCCTGATTGGCCAAAGCCTTGCACCTGACTACAGGTCAGGTGCAAGACTTTGCCCAATCATGGCAAAGTACTCTGTAAGAGCCATGATTGGGCAAAGCTAAGTCCCAGCTTACACCGCAGCCTTATGTAGTGTGTTGCTGGCGTAGGAGATAAAGTCTATATCAGTGTACTATAGCAGTCAGTCTATTATAGCAGTCTATTGTAACAATCAGTCTATTATAGCAGTCTGTCTATTATAGCAGTCTGTCTATTATAGAAGTCTGTCTATTATAGCAGTCTTTTATTGCAATCCACATCATGTCTGAAAGGCCAACAAGGAGAGGCAGACCCTCCTATGCAGTCCAAAGGCAAAAGTGGTGGCCGCTGACACGTGGTCCAGCAAGCATGGTCAGGGATGTTATATTTCCTTCACGGCACACTGGGTAACTTTACTTGCAGCTGGGAAGAATGCGGGGTGGGGCTCAGTGCTGGAGCTTGTTCAGCCATCACACCTCCAAAAAGCTGGTGGTGATGATGCGAAATCTGTCGGCTTCACCCCCCCCTTCCTCCTCCACGATGGCCTCTTCTGCTGAATTGTCCTGTGAACCAGCAGTTCGCCCTAAGCGTTCAAGGGGCTACGCAATGGGTCAGGCTAAAAGATGCCATGCAGTGCTTGAGCTGGTTTGTCTAGGGGACAGGAGCCACACCGGAGCAGAGATTATTTCAGCTCGGCACGGACAGGCCCAGAGGTGGTTAACATCACAGCAGCTTGAGCCAGGAATGGTTGTTTGCGACAATGGTAGCAACCTTCTCTTCGCCCTCCGACAGGGAAAGTTGAACCATGCTTGGCACATGTCCTCAATTTGGTGGCGCAGCGTTTCTTAAACAGGTACCCAGGGCTGCAAGATCTTCTGAGGCAGACCAGAAAAGTCTGTAGCCATTTCAGTGTTCGTCTGGCTGAAATTCAACGGGAATTCCACCTGCCTACAAATCATCTGATTTGTAACATGCCCACCGGGTGGAACTCTTCTTTGGCAATGCTGCCGTGGCTGCACATGCAGCAGAGTGCCTGCGTGAGTATGGCACAAGGACAGGCTCAGGGGACCTTGGCTTTTTTTCCCCACGCCAGTGGCTGCTGATAAAGGATGTGTGCACTGTACTGTCACCATTTGAGGAGGCAACAAGGATGGTGAGCCGTGACAATGAATGCATCAGTGCCACTATCCCTCTTGTGTTCCTGCTGGAGCATACTCTGCAGGGAATTATGGATGGGGCACTTGAGGCAGTAGAGCGGGAGGAAGAGGAGGACTTCCTTTCCTCTCTAGGCCCCCTTGATGCAGAAACCATTCCTGCGGGGCCGCAGAAAACACAAGAGGAATTGCTAATTTGTTAATTGCGCTGCGCTGCATATTTGAATTTCTGTGTGTTGACCTAAGGGTCACTTTTTGCTGCAGCCTCCTTATTTTCACGCTAGCACGCACATTTAGAATAATTTATTCACAACCCAGCGCAGAATCATTGTACATCTACAAGAGGAGAAGGATTATGGCAGCCATGGCGGCATTGAAGCAGAGACATACGGCAGCAGGGATGGTTTTCAGTCCCCAGAAACCCAAGGAGTAGTACGTGGCTGGGAGGAGGTAGTTCACGATAGTGTTATCCTCAGTGACCCTGAAGACTCTGATTCTCATGCCTCCTCAAACTTACATTGCATGTGCTCCCTTATTCTACAAAGTCTGTGAAATGACCCGAGGATTTGTGGTATCAAGGAGGGGGATCGTTACTGGTTGGCAACCCTTCTTGATCCATGTTACAAGCGTACTTTTGCAGAGCTCATCCTGCCCTCACAAAGGGAGCACAGGATGAGTGGTGGAGAAAAGGGCCGCCTGACTGATGCCTTTAGAAATTTTTTTAGTCTTCAGTGCCCAGGGCTGTTAGCTTTAGGCACCCATCGGTAGCATCTGCATCATATGGTGCAGGATTACCTAGGGGCAAGAGCTGACATGGAGAGCTTTCCAACAGACGATCCACTGACTTACTGGGTCTTGAGAAACGATCACTGGCCAGAACTTACCCAATATGCAATGGACCTACAGGGCTGCCCTGCATCCAGCTAGCTTTCCGAACGGAAATTCAGTGCTGCTGGAGGTTATGTGACAGATAAAAGAGTGCGCCTGTCCACAGACTCCGTTGACTGGCTGGCATTTATCAAAATTAATCAGTCCTGCTCGAACTTTAGAACATGGGAAAAGATCGAATACGAACATGAACTCAATGCAAGTCTATGGGGGTAGAACTTTGAAAATCAAATTTGGAAGCCTTGTATGCAATGTATTGGCCATAAAAAGGTGTATGGGGATTTGGGTACTGCCCTGGGGGACATTAATCTATGGGAAAAAAAACTTTTAAAAAATACAGTTTTTAAAGAAGCAGTGATTTTAACATCACTTAAATGGTAACAATAAAAGTTAAACATTTCTTTAAATATCTGGCCTGGGGGGTCCCCTTAAACTTCCTGTAAAGTGGTGCATCTGTATGATGTAAAGAACCTGCTGCAGCAAAACTGACATTTCTAAAGACATTTTTTACCAGGAAGTTTTTTTTAGGAATGTTAGGAGGGACCCCATTTAAAAAAAAATAAGTTTGGAGTTCCCCCCTAAAAGTCATAACAGACCCTTAAGGTCTGGTAGGAATTTTAAGAGGGAGCCCATGTAGAAAAAAAACAAATAAAAAAGTGTGTGGGGTTTCCCCTTAAAGTCATACCAGGCTCTTAATGTCTGATAGGAATTTTAAGGAGGAACCCCACCCCAAAAAATGTGGGAAGAAAAAAATGTGGGGTCCCCCCTAAAATTCCCAACCAGACCCTTGATCCGAGCACAGGCCTGGCAGAGCAGGAAAGGGGGGGGGGGAGGAGCAAACGCCCCCCCCCGCTCCCTGCGATACCAGGTCGCCCCTGGAAAAGCACCTTGTCTCAGTGCCGTTGGGGACAAGGGTCTCTTCCCCACGAGCCCTGGGGCTTTGGTTGTGGGGGTGTGGGCAGGGGGCTTATTCATATTAGGGTACCCCTTTAATATAGGGGCACCCAGATGCCACCTCCCCCTTGTGAATGAGTAAAGGATACTTGTACCCCTACCCATTCACTAAAGGGTTAAAAAAAAAAGATTAAATTAAAAAAAAACAGACTTTAATCAAAAATCCTTTATTTTTAAAAAAAAACGCAACAAAGGATTTTTGACAAGCCCTTTATTAAAAAAAATAAAAAAAATTGATCCACCGACGTATTCCAGGGTCAATCACGACGTCCAGCGTTGTCCACGACGACGACGACGACTTGATGACATAAAAAAATTAAACAATAAAAAAAAACATAAATAATTTTAAAAAAACAGACGACCGCCATCCCGTCAGCTGCGATGAACCCCCTCCGCAGAATGGCATTTTGACAGATGCCAACACCTTTTAAACAATTGGGCGGAGCTAGCAGGGACAGCTAGCTCCACCCAACTGTTTATAGTTGTAACAGGTGATCCACGATTGGGCATAGTCATCCCTGCGCTCACTAAGAGTAACTGTGAGGGGTTGCAGTGTGCAGACAACACCAACACTCAAGACCCAATTGTTTTTTGGCACCTGTGTGATAGGCACATATAACTTAAATTTTCCATTGATACATGTGCCCCGGGGGAGTACCCCGAATTCCCATACACTTTTTATGGCCAATAACTTGCATATAAGCATTCAAAATGGGAACATTTTATTATCAAAGTTCTGGTCCCATAGACTTGCATTGAGTTCGAATTTGAATTTTTTCCATGTTCTAAAGCTCAAATTCGAACCGAACACTATTCAGCAGTTCCTAACACCTGAATTTTAATTTCATAGTAACTAGAGAATAATCTAAATCTGTGCCGCCCAAGGAATCTTCTCATCTGACACACTTCAAGCTACCTACATCCTCTGCTGTACTCTGTAGATTTTCCTGCCAGTCCCTATGTAACTAAAGGACAATGAATGATGAATGGAGGTAATGATGAAGGGACAGGTGGGAAGAACCAAAGAGTGAAGCAGAGGACACAGGCATCAAACACAAGCTAAATTGTGTTGGATGTAAGTATTCTTTTCAGCGGCGCACCTCTGAGCAAACATTGAGTTCCTTTGCTGATGATTTAGTAAAGTGATATGGTAGGGGGAAAAAACACCCCCAAATTTCATTAAAAATAAATATTGTTCTTTGTTTTATAAATTAACAAAACAGACACATTTTTTTGTTTGGTGCCATCTTCTGAAGGAGTTCTCGCTAGTGTAAGAAGAAAAGGGAGCACAGGTGCCCTCAATCTACACTCTGCAACCTCTGGAAAGTGAGGGGACACCAATAAGTGAAGGGTTTTCAGGGATCAGGTAATTCCGGTGACTGTCTGGGTTCCCTGCTAGCTTTGTTAAAAGAGAACTATGGGGTAAGTGTTTTCCCCCACAGTTCTCTTTAGGGTAATGGGAGGACATATACTAACCTCCACCCATGACCCAAAGCTCAGTATATTGTGGGTAAGGCCAGGCACGGTACAAGGCAATCCCAATGTGCATTGTTTTGGCAAACTGAAGTAATTTGTCCCGTTGGAAGCAGAAAGTGAATACTGTGCAAGTGTAAGTATTTCACAATTACAGCATTTTACACCTGACGTGTCTATGTTTTTATTAATCAACATACATAGAGGTATGCATTGATAGAGTTAGCTTTTTGAGTGTAAAGGTCCGCTTTAGGGGAACCGGAGCTGAGAGAGTTGGAGCCAGCTGTTCAGAAACATGATAACTAAGTGGCAAACATTTAAAGAAATAGTTTGCTGGGCAATGTATATTTGTTTGATCTGAATTCAATATTAAAAAATGTTTGAGAGTTTCATACTACTTTAAGTAACAAAAACATTTTATTTGAGTTACCTGCTCCATTGTCCAAAAGCTCCAGAGTAATTGAATTCACATTATCCGCAGCAATTATGGCTGTAACGTTGACTCCTGTCACCGGGACCAACCCTTGTTGAACTACTGCATAGACAACCATTGGGTTGGGGTAACTGTTCTTGTTGTTACTCATGTGAGCCTTTACAGTTATTGGAGAAGTATTTATATCTGTTGCCATGGAGTTCACAATAATTGATACAACTTGGGATAATGCATATGAATTGCAAAGGATGTAAACCCATGATCCTCTCTGGAAAAAAAAAAATATATATATATATTTACAGCACCCTACAATCCCACAAATCATTCTGTATCTAAACGAGTATATTTTTTCAAACAGTGGGGACTTAATTTTAATTTAAAACACAAGGTTTTAAAAAAAATGTCCCTCCTTAAAGTCTGCATAATGGTCTGACACTCATTAATGTTATGTAAATCCCTTATCATGCAACACTCTACTGCATTATAGCATTGCAGAGCACAGCTGGGGCACTGTGAGGGTGTTAGGCATCATGAGGACTGCACTGCGAGGACTGTTGGCCACTTTGAGAACTATTGGGAACTGTAAGAATTGTTGCATACTGTTAGGATTGCTGGGCATTGTGAGAGCTGTTGGGCATTGTGAAAACTGTTGGGCACTCAGAAAACAGTGGTGCACTGGGCAATGGGAGGATTAGTGGGCACTGTAATATGTGTTGGGGACTGTGAGTACTGCTGGGCACACTGAGTATTGCAGGAGCACTGTGGGGACATCTGGATCTAAAGAATCAACTGGCAACACTGCAGAGCATTAAAATCATGGAGAAGAGCCTGAACCTCACCCATCAGGTGCTGGCAGAGGCCAATACAGAGGGGGTGGAGATATGGAAGTGCAGGAGCCAAGGGTAAGTAGATTACAGTTCAAAGGTGAGGTAGAGGTAAAAGTGTTAGAGAGGCTAGTCCTGACTTGGCACACCCCAATAAATATGCATGATATTGGGGGTGTTAGTTCAGGGGTAGCATTGCTGGAGAGGAATACCTCCGCTAGCTGCTAGTGACTGCTCCAGTAATAATGGGAACAGGAATGTAGGTAAGGAGAGCAGATAATGGTGGTAGGGGACTTGGTTATTAGATGGACAGACATGGTTATCTGTCACCGGGACCAGGCTTATCGTGACACCAACTTGGAGGTTATTTTCTTTAACTTGGCCCCTAAGTCCTTGAGATATTTTATAGGGTGCTCAAGCTCTCTCTAATTTTGTCATTAGTACTAATGTGTACCATGACAGCTGGGTCTTGCCCAGCCCCACCCAACAACCTATCCATCCGATCTGCAATGTGTCAAACTTGAGCGCCCAGTAAACAGCATATTCTTTGACAATCATGGTCGTGCTGACAGATTAACCTGTCTGTCCTTTTTTTGTAGCACAAAATGAAAAGATATGTATACAACTAATGAAAGTTGTGACGGTGCATAATCATTTTGGATGGAGGTACATATGACTGAAACAAACTATAAACTGATTATGAGTGTATGCTATAGGCCCCCCTAACATAAAGGATGAAGAGGAAACTAAGCTCCTCCCACACACTTAAATGGCTGGGAAACAAGACAATATTATTATTATGGGAGACTTTAATTATCCCAACATCGATTGGGCAGATGGAACCTCACTTAGCTAAGGCTTGCCATTTCTTGACATTATTGAAGGACAATTTGATGGATCAGATGGTGTCCCAACTGGGGCACTGTTAGATGTAATCATTTCAAACATGGAGCTAGTTGCAGAATAAGTTAAAGAAAAGAGAGGCATGTTGGTATGACAAGAACTCCAAACTTCAAAAAGGCTAATTTGAATACACTGTGCTCCCTACTGTATGATTCCAAATGGGAACAAAGAACGCTGAGAACAAGTGGGAGTGTTTTAAGATCATATTAAACAATGGCACTTGCCAGTGTATCCCATTGGATAATAATAATTAAAAAAATAGAAAAATTAAAAGTCAAACCTATGTGGCTGAATGCGAGGGTAAAAACAAAAATATAAATAAGAAAACAACACTGGCATTTCAGATCTACAAGGAATCTAATAAGAGATGTAAGAGTGCAATCTGGGCAGCTAAAATAGAATACAAAAAAATATTTATCTTTCGTTCATTGAAGGACACAGCGTACATCTTGATCTCTGTAGTGATAAGTTATACTGCCACTTGCAGGGGTACGACGCTAGGCATTAAAAAAAGAAGCTCGGCTCTGGGAGCGGCACCTGCTAGAGGCCATACCCCCATCCAAGGCAGCTCAGTTTTTTGCCTAGCCTCAAGTGGTAAGGACCTATGTATCTCCCTGCTGGGGATCTTTGCTCCTAATTTTAATCCCTAGTAGGGTGTTGTTTTTTATGTTTATTTTTTTCTTCACTTTTTAGTGATCTTCATTTAGCAGCTGAGCTGGGTGACAGGCTGAGTAATATAGATCCTTGTACTCTCTCCGGCTTAGCCATCGAGCGCATGCAGTTCTCTGCCTGAGAGAGTGAGATTTTCTGTGATAGCCCTGATGAAATGTGGGACAGCCTGTGAGATATCTCACGGGAGATGCATATGACAGACTGGCCGCTGGACTGGTTTGTCACAGTATCTCTCCCAGGCTAACAGGGTTCCCATCTAGGTGGGAGGCTCTCTGTTTGGGAGATAGTGCTCTAGCCTTCTTCGCCTGACAGGTAGGTGCTCTGGCCTAGTTCGGCTGACAGGTTCACTGCTTCTGAGGCGGCAGGTGACATTGCCAGCGCTGCTTCCCGGGCTTTCTGTCAGCACAGAGGATGCAGTAGCTGTACTTTAAAACAAACTTGTTTCTCTGAGAGTGGTAAGCTTGCTGAACCTCCTTCATCCCTGGCGGCTTGGTGGGTTCAGGCTTGTGGAGCTGGGGCATGGCAGACCCTGTTAAGGACACTGGTGCTAGTGCAGTAGGCACTGAGATGAACTGTGCAACATGTGGAAAAGTGTATCCCTCCCCTGGGTCAGGCTCTTTTTTTCTCACCTGTAAATCGCTCTCAGGTTCTACTTTGTGGCTGGCTCTCTTCTATTTTATTGAAACTCTTATGGAAAGTCTTACTTCTGTTTTAGAAGTTTTTGTTTTGCATGTGGAGAAAATTATTACTAAAAAGTAGAGTAAAAAGTGCTCCCCACCATCGCCATCACCCTCTGATTCCTCTGCAAAGGAAGAGATTTTCCTGAGATCTCTGCATCTTCTGGGAAAATAGGGGCGACAGATCAACCTCACTCTGCTAGTGATGACAACACATTTTCATCTCCTTTTTCACAAGAGAAAGTAGTGGTCTCTGCACTTATTCATTTGGTTTGCAAGACTCTTAAGAAGGCCATCATGGTATCCTAATGGCCTGCATGTCTGCCTTGCAGCGGTTGAAATCCCCGTCAATACACTAACTGTATGGTGTTTGTCTATATTGAAATTTCTACAGATGCTTCTTTGGAAGCTCGAGTTCCTTTTGGTACAAATAAGTTTAAATTTTTGACTAAGTCTTTATATACTGTACAGGTCCATTAAGGTCACCTTGTATTCAGGGTTCTTGCCAAGCAGGGTCAGGGGTTCCGGGTTGGACTTGTAAGGGAAACTGCTAGGCAGTCTTCCCAGAATTGGTAATTATACATGTGAATGGAGAACATTTGTAGCTGGAACAGTGAAATTTGTAGTGTAGTAATATTTCTGAAAAGATTTTTTTCCTTGCTTTCCATTACTAGTTCCTAATAATTTAAATTTAGAAACATAAAAACAAAAATTCTGCCAAGTAGCATAACCCTGAAATGACTGCTGCCCAATTTAGTTCATGTCACCAAAAGCTTTTGTCTAGTTTTTGGTTGGCTGCCAGCTTTTTGTCTTACTTTGTATTAGACATACCTTGAACTATTATACAGGTAACAGGAAGTACTGTAATTAGATGCATAATAATATTACCTCAGCTATTCCTTGGATTTTAAGCGTTGATGTTTTGGTGCTATTATCTCTGGTGAAATCTGCAGCAGTATATACTTTTCCATTCGGGTCTATTAATTCAATTATAGGTACTTGAGTTTGCCACGTGATTAAAAAGACTGTGTCATTTCCCACAGTGTTGTCAATATAAATGGTTCCATTCAAACAGACATTAGTGGCAAGTGTTTTTCCAATGCTTTCAAGCTGATAAATAGATAAGCACATACATAACATTTAATGACAATATTCACTGTTCATTTTCTTCTCACTACCAAAAAGCAAACTGGAACTCATGAACTGGTGATTATGACATTATATTTCACCAATTCCATCAATCATCAAACAGTCCTGTAAAATTAAAGTTTGAATCAAAAACTTTAAACTTGATTGGCCATGGAAAATTGACAACATGTCAACAATGATGGACTACAATCTCAATACAAATGAGTAAACTAAACATGAGATTGTAGTCTATCACGGGAGTGAGATTGGAGCGGTGGCTACATTACAACACAAAGGGACCTTGGGGAACAAAAGTAGCCACCCTCCAGAAGGAAGGACTGTGTGAGCATGAATTCAGAGATGATGTGAGGATCTACAGCTGAGCAATGCACAAATAACCTACATTTGCGGTAATAGCGGAGGTACTGGAATACACTTTTAAGATTGAACTCCTGAGTTTAGTGTATCTCAATGAAATTCACTTTTTTCACAACAAGATGGATGGCAAACCCTCTTTGAGTGCTGTTAGAGGAAACGTTTTTCAGATAAAACACAGGCAGAAAAACTGTTCGCAATTGTATGTAGGCACCATCCAGCAGCCATTTTGGGCAACCTCTAGGTACTCTAGTAAGGCAATGTGGGGGGTCAACACTGGAGCCAATATGTCTATGCAATACTCCATTCTCAATGCAGGGGGAGGAGGCAACAATGGCTGCCTCAGGTGGCAGTTAACCTAGGCATTCTCCACCCTGACACACTGATTTCACCACCACAGATGAATTGGCTGTTGACAGCAGATTGCAAAGAGTCTCACCACAGCTTGTAGAATTTCTCAATAAAGGCTACATCTTTCATATCTTTAATCTATAGGTCTATAATAGTCCACAAATGATCAAAAAATGAAGGTGTGAGGCATTCCTGTGTAAGTCTATCACAGTTTGCCACCCAGAATTAAAAAAATAGACATAAAAACTCTGGAATAGGGTCTGCCACTAATTTGTTTAATAAATGTTCCTCAGTGTTCCTAGACCTGGTACCCCACTGAGATGCAGCATTTTTGCTGTTTTAGCATTCTTCAAAAGCCTATGCAGTGCAGCGGAACAACTCCTTCAAACATTGAGCAGTAGTAAACTTTCTGAACACCAGATGCAGTTTCCCTCTGTTGTACCCTGCTTTGGCAACCATAAATTCCATCTGGCACCTGGAAGAGGAGTTGAGGAGGTAGCAGCTTCCAGTGCGCTGTGCAGGAAATATTATTATTTTTCTAAATGCTCTGTAACCAAAGTGTCATATACAAGCACTATATAAAATAGGAATGTAATAATAATAATAATATTTATAAACTGCAAGTGCAACAATTTTGGCTAAACTATGCACAGATCCCTAAGAATTACCTGGAGAACTTGCTGGGAATTATCTCCAGTTTTTGTTTGAATTTGACTGAAGGCATCAATCAAGCCATTAGCCTGAAGGTCATCTGTTGCTTTAAAATTCAAGCCTCCTGTAAAATAAATATTAGATAATATTTTTATATATAATGTTACCTTTGTAGCACCCTGTAGGAAAGAGTGCTATTAAATTTAGTATTTTCAGACTGCATGCAGTCTGATGCTGATTTGTAGTCTATGTGCATTTGGTTTCCCCTAATCAATCTGTCATCATTTGCATCTGTCTGCTGAGGGGTGTACCCTGGTCACAGAGCAGAGCAACCAATGAGAGATCACTATGAGTAGATATCCCTCTCCAGCCAATCCTTGTGAGACAATGGCCAGTGGTGCATGCTGGAGGAGAAGATAAATACTTGGGGTGGACCATGTGAGCTCTCTCTTCCTCTGCCCTGCCTGTGGGGAGGCTGCCTGTGGACAGGCCTGGAGCCTGGGGACTAGCTGGGTGGTAAATCTGGAGCCTGATGGCTGCAGGCCCAGTGGTTTTTACTGATGACAAGGATAAACATGACTGGTGACTTCTGCCTCAAGTATTGCTGTGCATGGAGACAGCGACCACACTCTGCCATATAATGGAGTCTACAACCGCCTGGATGATCCTAACCCTAAACCTCTCTCCCTGAAGTTCTACAATAAAGTTTTCAGCATCATATCTACAGTATGGACATTGCTTTAATCGATTATCCAAAAGGGTAGTAAGTGCTGGTGGGCAAAGTGAGTGAATTTACCCCTAGACAAGAAGATCACTGAATTGTGGTAACCAATAGCAACTGACCTTGGAGTCAAGGTGTGCTGGTGTGCTGTAGCTTAGACATGTGCACCAGCAAAAAAATTGTTTAGTTTCGTTTTGATTTGGATTTTGCATTATTTCGTTTTTCGGATTCGTGTCTGAAATTGAATTAGTCTCGGGATTCGGATGAAATTAGTTAGCAGTATTCCGGTCGAAAGTTCGTTTCGTTTGTTCGTGGCAGCAAAATGACATTTGATTTTAGTCTGCAGAAGATGAAAAAAAAAAGCGTGAGGTTCCACCCCAATTCATACAAGACCCTTTAGGTATGAATTTGGGGGAACCTCATAATTTAATTTTTTTTTTCATCTTTTGCAGACTAAAAAAAAAATATGTCTTTTTTTTTTCTAATGTCATTTTGCTGCAACGAAATTTCATCCAGACTACCGCTAACGAATTTCGGGAAATCGGAAATTCGGATTAGTTTGCATTCGTTTTAGCTGGAAAAATGCCACTGCATTGGTGTCAGTGGCAGGAAAAAAATACTGCTACATTGGTGGTGTCAGTCCATAGAGGCTTGCATTAGAATCCATGTAGTGCGAAGCCTCTAGCATGGTTTACTTCTTAAGGTACTCAGTGCTGTTAGCCTCTATGGGGGGGAATTTATCAAAAGTGGAGCAAGCAAATCTGGAGCAGCATGCATGGCAACCAGTCAGCTTCTCTCTTCAGTTTGTTAGGTTAATATTTGAAAATGAAAGAGAGAAACTGATTGGTTGCGGTGCACAGCTGCTCCAGATTTTGTGTTCTCCCGTTTTGATGAATTCCCTTCTATGTGTATTATTAAAGGAGAACTATGAGGTGAGTGCTTCTCACTCACCTCATAGTTCTAGCCGACCTGTGACAATGAGACTGTCACAGGTCAGCTCAGTAGATCGGGAGGTGAGCGAACATATACCGGCGTTCGCTCACCTCTCGATCCTGTCACGGCTCTCTGCCGTGACAGGGGAGGGGCTGGATTCCCCCCTCCCCGCACCGATCCACCAGCGCTGACAGGCGGAACGGACGGAGGAGGGGGCGGGTACAGCTGGCTCTGCCTCTAGATAGGCAGAGCCAGCTGTCACTCACGCAGCTGGGCGGATCTCGGCATCGATGTCGGGATCCGCTCCGGCTGCAGCGTCTCAGTATACCGCGAGTTGTAGCTTGCGGTATACTGAGCTTAGGGTAACGGGAGGATGCTATTTTGTGTCCTCACGTTACCCTAAGGAGAACTATGGGGAAAAGCCCTGACCCCATAGTTCTCCTTTAATATCTGGCATTTTATGCAAAGCCTTCCTAACCGGGCAAATGCCATAAAACAGAAGCATTTGCACAGGGATCCCTTAGAAGGGGTTATGTTTGAGGGTCTGCATATTATTCATATTATTACTTTCTATCTTTACAGCTTGAGACTTCCAAAACAATACAGGATTATATGAGGCTATGAATGCACAGCTGGGCAATCTCCCTGCCACAGTATAACAATATCCCACACATAGAGAGCCTGAAATCACAATCCTGGGCTGGTGCTAACAGAAAAAGGTGAGGTTGAAATTCTGCTTTTAACTCACCTGTCATGTTGGCAATATCTTCAAGAGCTTTTGATGCACTTGGTCCCAAAGCTATAAAATGTATTATAGCTCCACTGGCTGTTGCATTAGGAAAACACAATGTGGTATCATAATTATCTTCTCCATCAGTCAACAAAACTATTTCTGTGCCATATGTGGATCCATCATAGCCGCTATTTACCTAAAAATACAAATATTGGATAACCTTTGATTTGTTCATAAACTTGACTGAGACTATATTTATTAAAATGTAAAAAAAAATTACCGTCAAACCTGACAGGATCCCTGCACAAATGTTTGTCCCTCCAGAAGCAACAGTTGGAAGCAGGGATTTTAGATTCTCTCGTTGGTTGTCATTAGTAATTGTCACCAATGGTGAAGAAATGTGTGCTGAGCTTGAGAATATGACAATTCCAACAGAAGATCCTGTTTCAATAATTTGAAGAAGAAATATGGATGCAGCCTGGTACAGTCGTTCTATACGCTTATTCTGTAAAAGAAAGACACCATAACAGGTAGAACTATAATGATCACAGCATTATTGGGTATCAAAATATTTTCATACATCACATCAGTGGTAAACTAAATAGTTTTGTTTGAGAAGCCCACATATCTTAGAACATAAATACAAAGGCTCTTAAAAGAAATAGGTGTTTCAGGACCAGTGAAGCAGGCCCAGTGATTTAGCTTTTCTTTTATTAGTAATATATATAGTTTAAAAAAATTACATACACCTCCCATGCTTCCTGAAGTGTCAAGGACAAGAGTCACGATTCTATTTCTAGGCTGTAGCAGAGTGAAAGTGGGTTCAGGAATGCTGTAACTGGTTCTTGGTGGAGAGGAGATCATGTCTGTTGAGTTCATGATAACTTCCCATGCACTACGGTAATTACACATTCTGTTTTGTAGATTTGGTGCCTCGTTATTGTGATTAGTGGAATCACAGAAAGCAGTAACCTGAAAAAATATGTAAATTAAATTAACTATTAAAACAGCAGAAAGCTAAAGAAAATGTTTTTAAAACTAAAATACCTACCAACAAAAGACAATTATTTATTTTATGATAGCTTCAACCTTCCACACACATTTCACTCTATCACAATGGGTCATTTATTGGGGATTAAAAGGACAGTAAGTATTCAGAGACTTGAGACTAGGTTGTCATAGATAAATAACTAATTCTGGGCACAGTGATGTCAGGGAATTACAATGAAAAATAAATGATTCCATGCTTCCGGGAATACATCAAAAAGCCTAAACCAAAAATGGATTTTGGAAATGGTTTTATTTACTACCTAAATTCATTCAAAGAGTAAGGTTGTAGATTAAATTATTTGGAAACCCTGGCACATTTTACTTGCTGCCTAAAGGGAGATGCAAAAATTAGCCATATTTCTCTTTCAACTGTAGGGATATAGTATTTTTCCAAATTCTCCTCCTGAGGCACTTCCTGGCACAGGCCCTTCCCTCCAGGGTTTCTACACTGTGCGGATGTATCTGTAACTAAAAAAACTAGGCCCCAGGCCTGAGGGCCTAGGGCATGATGGCGAACCTTTTTGAACCCGAGTGCCCAAACTGCGACGCAAAATCAATTTATTTATCTCAAAGTGCCAGCACTGAAAATAAGTTTGGTATTGCAGTTTTGGCGCTCGGGTTTAAGAAACGTTCAACATCACTGCCTAACGGCCTTGTACGGCTCTCACGGGGGACCTGAACGTCTCGGTTCGCCTCTGTAGACGGGCCGGTCACAATCAGGCAGCGGCGGTGACCTCTAAACAGGCAGATTAGACGGCCGCTTGTGGGGGCCTCACTGGGTCCTAGCGAGGAGGAAGCAGCCGTCTAACCTACCTGTTTATTGGCTGCCGCTGCCTAATTGTGACTGGCCCGGATCGCATACCAAGGCGATCTGGGTCAGTCGGATCTATTTCAATTGGTGGTCCCTGAACGCAGTGGTGTATTCTGGTTTGGGGCTGCCCTAGGCAAGGCAAAACACGGGCGCCCCCACCCCCACTAAATTTACCCCACCCCTTCCTGTTTAATACTTTTTGCGTGACCTGTCAGTCGCTGGATACAGTGCAAACACTGTATCCAGCTTTTGACATGTTCCGCTATTAGCATAGCAGGAAAGCTGTGGTCTCAGGGGGGCTTAGCAAGATTTGTGGTGAGCTCTGCGGGGTCTATGGTGGGCAGAGCCCACCACAGATCCTGCACAGGCCCGAGACCCTGCAAAGCCCCCCACAGATCCTGCACAGCCCCCTGGAGGCCCTGCAGTCTGCAGGGTCTCAGGGGGGCTGTGCAGGATTTCTGATCCTGAAAACCCCCCACAAGTCCTGCAAAGCCCCCCACAGATCCTGAGACCCTGCAGTCTGCCAGATCTCAGGGGGGCTGTGCAGGATCTGTGGTGGGCTTTGCAAGGTGCAAAGTCCCCATGGATCCTGCAAAGCCCACCAAAAGGTATTGCAGAGCCCACCTGTGATTCTTTGGTGGGCTGTGCATAATCTATGGTGGGCCCTGCCAGCACAGTGCACCTAGGGGTAAGGGAACTTGTGGGGATCTCCCCTGATGGGAGGGGCACCTAAGTTACTGGCTGCTATGGAGTGCTACTGGCCTTTAGGAAGCAAAGCTGCAGTTGTCCCCCACATGGAGGCGGTAAGTGACTGACTGACTGTGGGGAAGTCACACAGGAACCTATATCAAGGCAGGTGTTGTGCCTTTTTGTTGCTGTCACAATGAACCTTAGAATCTTCCCACTGCAGTCATAGACACATACACATCAATAAAAACCCAGACGAAGTTCTAGTAAACATTTTGGCTGGGATTGGGCTTTAATTGAAGTCCTATATATATTTTTCAAGAGAAAGGTGCTGACAGCTTGAACTTAACACGTGCTGTTACACAGTTATAAAAATATAACACAGTGCATAGCCACAGTTAATATTCATATTAATGTGAAATAAGAATTACATAGTTAATTTTCCTCAAGCCATTATCTTTGGTATTGTATAGCTGGTTATTATACTGTGGGTAATTTGGTTATCGCACCATGTTTTTCTGTGTTCCCTCCCATCTATGATGTATTTCCCCCTTCTTCAACAACTTGTGTTAGTGTCATGGCTGCCTATAGCAAGACCACATGTACATGCAAGCCTGGAAATATTATCATCCTTGACCTTCAAATACCATCTGCTGTAGCCTGTTGTCTGCTGTATCCCGTTATCTGCAATAAAGCATTTCATAGATGGAAAGGTATTTGTTGAGTTCAGCTATCTGATAAGGATTGTCCGCAGTGATTGCATCAGCTTATACAGGCCAGGCATAGAGGTCTCAGCAAGGGATAAATCGCTAATACAACAATCGGAGTCAGAATATAACATAAAGAATATATTTTGAATCTTTATATATTGAAAGTGAATCTGTGCTTCACCCATGCAGGGCAAGCAATAGGTACACTTTCATGCCAGCCTTGGCCACTGTTTAACTTCCTTTTGCTACCCTACATCCCCATTTACCGGGAGAACTGATGAAGCCTTGTAATGAAGAAGATTTGACATGGAGGACCCTCTCCCGCACCCATTTGATAGTGTGTGGTGATAGTGTGTGAATGGCTAAGAACCAAGCATGCATACCATCACAAGGGAAGAAGGGAAGTAAGTCAAGTCTCCTCAGCACAGTCGAGCAACAGGGGAATAATGGAAGTGTAAGTATAAGCAACTGCGGTGGGTGCCATTAAGGTGAGCATGTTGCGTTGCCTGCATGGGTCAATCAAAATATGCCTTTTAAAACCTAATTTTTGGGAATGTACAAACTTTGCATACTCACGTCATTTATTGATTGCATATACATAATGGATGCAGTAGCAATTTGTCTTTTATCAGGATAGAAAATACATCCATCTTCATAGAGACCTGTTGCTGGATTCTTAGCACATTTGGCGGAACATCTGTTTCCTGTGCATTGAGTTGTTTGTTTCCAGTATTGCCCACTTATGCGTGAGGAACACCTGCAACATATCAGTAATCCGTAAATTTGTATTTATCAGTAAACTTTATTCACATACAGTATGACAGATACAGATTGTTAATATGCCATTAAGAATAAAATAGATTACTTTATTCTAGTCTCAATCATAACATAATTTACACTCATTCCATGGAAGCAGGGCCAGTATTTTGTGGTTTGTTTGCCTCTTACTCACACCACTACAGGGAATGGCTGACATAGTAAATCATACAATGAAATGGAAATTATTTGCTTTTGTGTATTGATTCTGCTTTGTTCAGCCTGACACAAGTCCCTGGAATTCAAACCAATGTCCTAAACACTCTTCAGAATTGTCTTGCCTCTGCATGACAAATGTAGGTGTGTGCAAAGATTTATGTGCCTGTTAGAACTTGTTACATGGAGGCAGGGTAAGGGCCGGCACTACGTCTGTAGTGCTCATACCAGCCATTATGCAGCTCAGTAACACCAAGCCTGATAAAATCATAGGCTCAACGTTTCTGAGTTCCCTGCCCGGCCACTGTGTCAGACAGACAGGTACAGCGGCCAAGGAAGGCAAAGCTCTTGGGGGGAGGCAAAGCCTAATGTTAAAACAGTAGTTCCTAATCAGGTCTGCCTCCCCTTAGTTTAATAGCGGACAGAACCTGATGGGAAAACTGAGACACTAGTTCCTCATAATGTCCACCTTCCTTGTGATTGACAGCAGACGGCAGTGTATAGATGCCATAGCGGAGTGTGCTGTCTTTATTTATGTTGCATGCTTCACTGTTACAGGTTTTTATTACCTTGTTGCTTCTACTTCGGTTTTGCTTGATATGTAGAAAGGTGTTTCTGTATTGTACTCATCAAAAACTCCCCAGCGAAGGTGAGCCCATTCATGAACAAACACACGTCCTGTAAAAACAGCTGTGTTATAGATCGATATTTTACCAGAAACAGTCGTACCGTAGGTACAGACTTATTTAAAGAAAAACTCCAAGATTTCTTGCTTGTTACAAAGACTGCTTTCATACATTAATATTATAATATTTTTAAATTATTATATAATATTACATAATTACTGTAATTGTCCCACTGCAAAAACCGTTTAGTACCTCAGCATATGTTCAAAACTAGCTGGAAATAAAACTTAAAAAACCTAAAATAATATATTTATATTTTTGCATAAACATTATACATTTTAGCAACATCTGTTTAGTGACAAATAACTATTTACATGGGCTAATAATTTCAATTTATGTAAGTGCTATGTAAGTGCTATGTACACTGATCATGCAAAACAGTATTCATATGTCCATCACTGACACAATCACTTTACTACTTTTGGCCATCAGTGACTGGAGCAACACTGCTCAGAGTACAATACTCTTCCCATCTTGCCATGTCCTCTATGCTTCAATAGTCACCAAAATCTAAGAGGAAAGTATATCATATTACAAAACTTCCCAAACTAATCTTATAAAGATGAAACTACCAAAAATATTTAATCAAAAGTGAAGCTTTGCTAACAGAATCAATTATGTTTCTTAATACAAAGGTGTATCTATATCCATAGTAGATCAAGGGACTTCTGTGGGGCCCAGATGCACAGGAAGGCTGAGCTGTCTGGGTACGTAGTGATTTAAGCAGGTTGCAATAGCATTTGGCAAATACATTTGGATATGACTACATGTATATAAGTTTGATAAACATGTATAAGATTGCTATGAAAGCAATTGGCATTCTGTAATACTAGGGGAATTGCATTTGAGACAAAGATTAAAGCGACAGTGCCTCATTTAGTTACAATCCTGCTTATACATACATATATAGACTATTACAATGTTTAGTGCCTCTTAAAAACAACAGAATTAATCTAATTAATAAATAATAATATCTCCTAGGAAATTATAGTACATAGTTCTTCTTACCTCTAGGTCCATATGCTGTTAGCAATGAATCATCGAGTAAGAAGTTTGGTGTAAAATGAATGTATTTTCCTGGTTCTCCACAGCGTCCATATTGCAAAGTGTAGGGAGTATTTCCATTTTTTGAATAAGGATTGGCAACAATTATATCAGCCTAATACAAAAACAAGCATACCCATAAATATTATTTATACACACTGTAAGGCAGACAACTAGTTTAAGTAGCGGTAAACAGGAGCAGGAACACCCAGAAACAGTCCAAGCAGGTTTTTCCTGCACTTTTATTGAGCAAGGCAGCAAACAAACATTGTTGGAGGGCAGGAGGGCTTTGTACAGCAAGTCCATAACATAAAATAAAGCATCTCCTCATCTGAGATTCTAACTATACTCAGTTTAGTCTAGCTCAGTTCTTGACTAACAGGGTGTCACTCATGGGTTCCCCAATACAACTTTTTAGTGTTCAGTTAGAACTCAGCCTTTGCACTCAGTAGCAGAGCAACCTGTGTGTCTTGTGGATAGCTCACTAATAATGAGGTCTGGCTACCAGGTAAGATGTGGACCCAGAGTGGAGGCTTATTATGACCCAAAGCTCTACAATGTTTTTGGTTTTCCAAGACCCGGAGCAGAACTTATTAGGATTCTAAGAAAGCAAACATTTGTCTGCACATCAGCCAATTACTCTAGAGCCCCTCACCATGTGTATGTGAGAAACATAGGTGAAACAAACACATCATCCACAATCCTGACAGTAAGATCCTCACAACACACACAGACACAATTACCATGTCAACTTATTAAAGTGGTTACCACTAGGAATGGACTAATATGCCTTGGTTCGAGTCATCAAGGGTTTAGTGAGTCCTTTGTAAAATTTGCGGAGGGTGAATCCTTAGGGCTGATAGGCAAACTACTTTGACTATAATAGGGTCCTATTGTAACACCTCATATGTGAGTAAACTATTCAGATCCAATAGATCACAATAGCAGGATTACATTGGAATCACAAAACTTTATTATGTCCAGTAATAAAATATTATCTATAATATCATATGTCTGTAAATATATTTTAATACAATTAAAGACATGGCCGCACTTCACAGAGTACTAATCCCTAAGACCAGACCAAATGTAATACATTTATATTGATACAAATAAAGCCTGTCCATAAATCCAGATATAATACGCCCCAAGATGGTAGAACAGTCATCTTCAAGGTGAAAATCACACTAAATAGACACATTGTAAGCCTCCAACTCAACTTATTGAGATACACGCGTTCCTTACGGAGTAGTACAGGTGATAAAGCCGATGTTCAATTTTAGTATCATGCATACTTGCACCATAACCCCAATATTATCCACTTTCTAAGCAATAGGTGATGCAAATGCCTTGATAAAATAAATATTTACTGAACAAGTGTAAAAAATCTGTGTCATGCTCAACATGCAGCTTTGTTTTACAATGAACATGCTGATAGATCCAAACATCTCCACATTGGTACCTCCCACATGGGATGTGGTATCTCCACATGGGTACCTCCCATTTAATAGATATAGATAAATGTAATCCTTCTTGTAGTTATTAGTGATGTAGTCCCTAGAATCACTCTGTTAGACTTTCAGCAAGAGTCATTGTTTTTTAAGAGAAAACTTGCCGTTGAAGTAAAGCTCAGGAAGTAAAATTTATGAAATCTCATTGTGGCATAAAGGGGTCTGCAGGATGAATTTTGGACCAATCAGATGCCTCAATGGCAGTTTTGCATGATGAATAAGCATCTGCCTGGACTTTTCAGAATTGGGGAGACCATTAAGGTTGCATTCACACTTAAGCAACACCTATTTAAAATGTGGACAACTTAAATGAATCTCTTATGGATGTGGATAAATACGGAACTGTTTATTCAGGTTCAGGACGAGCTTTAAAAATTTGAATTATAGTGGAAAGTTTTTGGATTGAATTTTAGGCATTTATTTTTATTTTTGGAAGAATAATTACCGTATATATGTTTCCTTACTGCATTATTATTGTATTTGCTTAAAAGAAAATATTGATCAATATTTTAAAGCATCCTCATCAATTTGTATTAAATTAACTCCAGTACATCATATTACATATCTTGTAGATATTACCTTATCATAAGTTTCTGTGGTGCTCTTGCTATAGTTCTTGTTACTCCAAGTAGACGGTATTAATATTTTAACACTTTGGATGAAGACTCTTTTCTTTGTTGCGGTAAAAAGATACGAAGTAGCTTCTTTAACCATGTTCTTAAAAATATATGTATATAAATTAAGGAAAAAAAGTACATAAAATGCATAAAGTTATATAAAGTGTATATATATATATATATATATATATATATATATATATATATATATAATATATATATATTGTATATATTTATTTTTAAATACCTGGATACTTGTAATTATTTTCAGGTCCTCTGTCACACTCGGGTTGATTGCAATAACAATGTCTTCATATCCCCCATTGTAAAGTTTGATCATGGAGCTCACAGTTGGAGATAAAACTTGACATAAAATGATAGCAGACAGGATGAGAAACTTCATCATGTCCCTCACACAAAGGTATCGGAAGTAAATTTGAAGTTAGGTGTATATATACTAATAGTTTTCTAGATGATGTACGTCACTTAGATGTTACCTAGATAATGTCAAAGAATGTCAAATATGCAGCTACAAATAATAGGACTAGAACCAAAGGAATGACACAAAATAATGTGTTTCCCGTAAAGAATCTTAAAACATTTTTTTTCAATTCTAAAGAAAGGCAAATGTCACATATAAGTGCAATGAGATCATATTACACCCAAACAAAACAAAAAAAGTATTAGTATAATAAAATTCAAGGGAAACAATTGATCAAAGGTTTCACCAAGATTCACACATGATGTTTTTCACACTCATCGCATCGTCTTAAATAGGGATGCCCCAATACCAGTACTGGTGCCGATACTGGGCATTTTCATGAGTACTCGTACTCATGAAAATGTCCCAACAGTAAGCGCTGATTCCACAGGAGCAGAGGGGCGAGGTGAGCACTCACCACTGTAGGATCGATGATCTGGTGAGTGTATCTTCTTTATTCCGTTCCCTAGACCAAAACAAGTACTTAGCCCTTGCATTGTGGGCGCAGCCCAACTGCAAGGGTTAATTTTTGAAAATCCTGGACATCTGCTTTAAACTCACCTATTGATAAACCTGCAGAGAATTCCCATATAGATTGTCAGAGAATGCTTTTAAAAATTTGAGGACTGCAAGCTAAGGAAATGGAGATGAGACAAACTGATGTTAATGAAAAGGTAAATTCTTGCTAATAAAGAACAGTCGTCAAGCAAGGTCAGCTTCCCCCTAAAAAGCTTACTCGCCTAACACTCTTCCCTATTTTCACTAAACAATTAGCTGTGCTCTTGCTCTTGCTACCCTCCAATACACAGTTAACCCCTTAACGGATAATACTGTAATGAAGTCTGAAGGGGTTACACAGAACAGCCGCCGGGAGTCTGTTTTCGTTTTGTAGAGCCGGCGACCGCTAAGTTAGGTTACACAGCAGCCAGCTTCCACACTGCTTGTGTAACCTAACCTAGTAAGGCCAGAGCTGCAATAGCCTCTACTTGCTCTTAGAGGCTTGAGCTATGTGGATGGTTTGGACCAATGGCAAAGCGTCATTGGTCAAAGCTGTTTACTTAAAAAAAAAACCCCACTGAGGACATTATTCTCGATGCTTCACCAGGGACGAGCAAGTGAGGGACAGGGGGGCTCCTCCCTGTCTCCTCCCTTCTCCCTCCCCCACACAGCTAATCATCGCTTTCAAATCAAGATGTTTGGATATGGCGCAGAGAGGTTAGGTCCTTTTTTTCCCCCCTTGCTAGCTGTCCAGGTAGTCACCTGGGCAGAAACTGATAGGGGTTTTCTCTAAAGGAGAAACAAGCTAAAAGTAAAACACCCTTTTTTAGTAGGGGAGGGGTGGCTGTGGGCTGGTTAGGACCTCTGTCACCTTTTTATTGGTGTGAGCCCCTGTTACATTTTTCTCACTGTACTGAATGTATAAAATAGGTTTTGGCTGGTGTATGGCCTTTTTACAGCAATAGTATTATATAAGTTTCAAAGTCCAAATCACATGTGCAAGTGGTGTTGCTATAGTAGCCATGACAAATACTAACACATTTCAGGAGACACAGCTCCCTTTGTCAAGGTAAGTTACTGAAAACTAGGGGTTGCACACCCTTTGACATTAGTATTTTAATGAAAAGAGGGACATTATTATAAAAATATATAAAATGTTTACATGAAAACTACATCTATCTTCTGCCAGTACATGAACCAGTTAGACAAACACATCTTTTTTTTAATAAGATGTCCTTTGAGTTAGAACATGTTATCTTGGCCACTGGGAATAAACCAGAATTTCTACTCTAAAATATGGCAACATTTCCTTGTTTTCATAGTCTAGGTTATACCTTCAGAGCAATGACTTTATGTAAAATGATTAGATTGCTTGTTTACTTTTCTATTTGTAATATATATAAAGCATTAGACTGTAGAAATGTTTGAAGTGATTTAATGTTTAGTAAGTTCAACAAAGAAATTGTCACACCCTTACAAATAAAGTAATAAATGTGTCTTCTTGTGTAACTGTGTATACTGGAATGCTGATATACAAGGAAATGGAACAGAAAAATCCCCAGTTTTGTTAAAGAATAAATACAGGAATGTCAAAATTATCCTCAAAATATGTTTTTGTCGGCCATAAACTCTTTAATTAAAAAATTTTTTTTAAAGATTTCCTTCTTCCTTAAAGGAGAACTATGGGGTTAGGGCTTTTCCCCATAATTCTCCTTAGGGTAACGGGAGGACACAAACTGGCGTCCTCCCGTCACCCTAAGTTTAGTACATCGCGAGCTACTGCTCGCGGTATACTGAGACGCCGGAGTATACCGCGAGCTACTGCTCACGGTATACTGAGACGCCGCAGCTGAAGCGGATCCCGACAATTATGTCTGGATCCGCCCAGCTGCGTGAGTAACAGCTGGCTCTGCCTATCTAGAGGCAGAGCCAGCTGTACCCGCCCCCTCCCTCGTCCGTTCCGCCAGTCAGCGCTGGACGATCGGAGCGGGGAGGAGGGAATCCAGTCCCTCCCCTGTCATGACTCTCTGCCGTGACAGGATCGAGAAGTGAGCGAACGCAGGTATGTGTTCGCTCACTTCCCGATCTACTGAGCCGACCTGTGACAGTCTCATTGTCACAGGTCGGCTAGAGTGAAAAGCACTCACCTCATAATTCTCCTTTAAAGGAAAACTCCAGGATTTGTAAAAATGAACCCTTGCAGTGGGGCTATCCCTGCACTGCAAGCTAACTGCTCGTTTTTATCTTGGGGACTGAATAAATACATTCTTACCCCATCCTCGGTTCTGCGGCATTGACTTCTCACTTCTCTGCCCCCCTCCACTCCAGCTGTAGTATGTGTCTGCGTCCTCATTTCTAATAGACCTTTATTATATGTAATGACATCATAGGTACTTAGACCGCCAGAGAGGAGGAGACGAGGCTGTGGGGATAGGTATAGCAACAAGGCAGGACCGAACATCTGGTGTGTATTTCTTCTTAATTCCGTGCTCTAGACAAAAACGAGAAGTTTACCATTGTAGTGCTGGGGTAGCCCCACTGCGGGGGGTTCATTTTTTTTAATTCTGCCGTTGTTCTTTATGGAGCAGTAATTACTAACCTAGGTTGTCCCCGCATCTAAAATGAAATACTATGAGCGTACTAAGTTTGACACATATTGATTTAATATATTGATATAGAGCCAGATATATTTTTTTCATCTGAAAGAGGAACTGGGCTCCCGAAGTTGTGCCAAAAATGTCAGGCAGAGGGTAAACAACTGGTCACCAGTATTGTTTGTGGTCTTCTTCCATTACTGACTTATCATGCCTTTTGATCTGCATTATGTCTCTTTGTGCAGGCAGTCATCTTGGTAGGGGCAGGGCTTTGCTTTCTCATGTCAGAGCCTCCAGCGAGAAAAACAGACAGCAGCATTATAGTGGCATCACCAAAGCTCTCTAAATCTCATAGTCTAGCAGTCAGTTGCAGCAGTGCTTTACATCTTACACCGCAGACATAACAACTATAAGGGCTTGTTCACACCAATTGCAGTGCATTCCAGAGCGGTAGCTGCTGGAACGCACAACAATCGCTCACCTTCGTTTTGGGTCGGGAGGGGGCGTGATGGTGCAATGAAGTCAATGGCACCACAGCCATGAACCTCCCCCCCCCCCCGCAGTGCGATCGGACTTGTGGCAAAATATTTTCCTTTGTTCCGGTCCACTGCAAATGCAAAAAATAGAGTATGCAGCATGTTTTGCATTTGCAGTGGAACGGAACGCAGGCAATGTTTTGCCACGCGTCCGATCGCACTGCGGGCAGAGGGCGTGGCTGCACTGCCATTGACTGCAATGCACTGCCATGCCCCCTCCCACCCCAGAACAAGGGGGTGTTCTATCAAAGATTGTGACTGGGTTGAAATGTTTGACCGGTCACGTGGTCACACATTTTAACGTAATCAAGCCCACTTTTTCTGCGGTGGAATATGTGACCGGCAAAAGGTGAAGAATTCCCACGTTTTCTTAGCTGTTCCAGGGCAGCTCGGCTTTGCAGATGGTATGTGCAGGAGAAATGATCTGCCCTGGAACCGCTGATTGGTCCTGAAAAGTCACTTCTATCCGACTTTGTGGAATGTAAGATCGCACTCACAAAGTCGGATAGTCACCGCTCTGGAACGCACCGCAATTGGTGTGAACGAGCACTAAGGCACAGAGAGCACACTGCTAATTTTCAGGTGGAAGTCCAAATAAAGTTAGATTGTTTTTAGGTTACTGCTTAGGCACAACTAACATTTCTAAATATTCCCTACAACATAGCAAATCTTCACTTTTTGAGTCCAGATCCATTTTACAGTATGTACATGCATGCTATGTATTGTATATGACAATGCTTTCCTCTTCCTTTCACACGAACAATTCTGTCTGTTCATTCCAGGGTGACAAATCATATAAACCTTAAGGGCTTGTTCACACCAAGCGCGGAGCAGATCCGGACCAGAGCAGGTGCAGACCGGATCAAAACTGCGTCCAATGTATTCCTATGGTATTTTGACCTGCAGTTCACATCGCAGCGTGCGGATCCAGACCAGATCCAGACCGGATGAAAAAAATGCGGCAAGCCCTATTTTACCTGCTCTGGATCTGGTCTGGAACGCATCTAAAACGCATGCAAGTGCATGAAAGTCCATGTTAAACTTTAAAAAAAAGTTTTTTTGCGTGTGCAGAAACCTGACCGGATCTGGTCTGCATTTGGTGTGAACAAGGCCTAATGTCTGTGCAGCCTGTGTGTACTTGAGTATAAATGTATCACATAGATCAGCGCCTTGCTGCTGCCTCTCATTTTGTGATATGTCACTAAGTTGCAATTTACAGTCTGTGTAAGTGATCACTGGAGAAAGATAAACTGAGGAAATTATTTTGTTTGGAGTTATGTGATTTTGTGTGAAGAATGATTTTATAATAAAATAGGTACCTCTCTTTTGATAGATAAAATTGTAGCCGTATATAGTAAGTACTAGTACATGTCAGAAATTGTTATGTGCAGTTACTTAGGGGTCCTCATAAACAAGTGAATATAAACAACAGTAGAACCAGGTTTTCAATGTTGCCCATGCAGGGCAAAGCAACAGGTTCACTTTAAAGTGTATAGCTAAACTTTGTTTTGTTTTGTATAAAGCAGAAGAGGGTTAAACCCCCTGACAAGTTTGTATTGCTGCCTGTGTCCCTCTTGGGGAGATTCAACCTGTATGTTTATCCTGGTGGCCATTGTCAGAGGGGAGGGGAATTCCCTTTACTTTTTACATGTTGCATCTCCAGGACAAGAAGGGAAGAGAAAACGTCCCAACTGGAATAAGGTACATTTTGCACACAGAGGTCCACCAAGTGAAGTGAAGAAAACATTTAGAATTTGATTTCTACCACCTAACAGACAAACACTGCGAGCACAAACCCTAACAGTCAGACAGCCTGGTGAAAACTGTTATGGAAATTCACTTGGTTCAACGCACAAATCCATGTCGCATTAAGCTGCGCCAAACACAAAGAATTTCCACCGTTGTACTACGCTCCTTTATGCAAGGACTGGAAGTATTTCCTTCTATAGAGTCATGTAGAGTCAGGAGACAGATGTTGCTTGTTCGTTAATCATATGCTAAGAGACCTGAGCGCAGGTATGTTTATTGTTTATACCTGCCCAACAGGAAGTGATGTCAGACAGGAAGGGGTGTCTCAAACAGCGAGACAGGAAGTGATGTCAGACAGGAAGTGAACAGGAGTCAGCTAACAAATCACATGTAGTAACAATCAATGACCACCGGAGTGACTTTATCCAGCGTTGCTCAGTGAGCAATGCCACATAACGTTACTAGGATTCTCATGCGCGCTCATTCACAGGGACAATGTTATATCATCTCAAGTGTGTTGATCAGGCACCCCAGAGAGAACAAACGCACGTTCCTTTCATATACTGCGTTCAAGACAAATGTATCCACGCAAGCTAATAAATCCATGCATTGCACCGGGGGGCCCCAGCCGGCGTCCATACATTCGCCAAGAACACACTGCTCCGCCGCGCATAAGAAATCTCCTCCAATGGATTAATCCCCCAGCGTCTATTTACCGAGACACTGAGAGACTAATGACAAAACATTACAATACACTAAAAACACATCCAAATAAAATTTCCACAACAAAACCACATAGGACAAGTTAAAGGAGAACTATGAGATGAGTGATTTCCACTCACCTCATAGTTCTAAGCCGACCTGTGACAATGAGACTGTCACAGGTCGGCTCAGTAGATCGGGAGGAGAGGGAACACATACCAAGATAGGCAGAGCCAGCTGTCACTCACGCAGCTGGGCGGATCCCGTCATCTAAGTCGGGATCCGCTCCAGGTGCGGCGTCTCAGTATACCGTGAGCTGTAGCTCGCGGTATACTGAGCTTAGGGTAACGGGAGGACGCTAGTTTGTGTCCTCCCGTTACCCCAAGGAGAACTATGGGGAAAAACACTGACCCCATAGTTCTCCTTTAAGATGAGGAACTGGTTTGGAAAGCTGCAAAGAAGTTCTATGCTCACCTACTTCAAGGCTCCCAGCTATCCTCGGCAGGGCTCCCAGCAAACATGCACAGGACTCCCAGTTATCCACTACAGGTTCCCCTCCTACAATCCACAGGGCTTCCAGCTACTATCCACAGGGCTACCAGCTACTCTCCACAGAGCACCACAATAACATCTACTGGGCTTTCAGCTATCATCCACAGGGTCCCAATTACCACACAGAGGACTCCCAGCTATCCCCTGCAGGGGTCCTAGCTAACATTCACAGGATTCCCATTCTATCTTCTACAGGTTTCCGAGCTACCATCCACAGGGCACCCAGCTACCATTTGCTGTTTTACCCTTACCACCCACAGGACCTCTGACTATCACCCGAGGGTTCATAGCAACCACCCACAGGGCTAGCAGCTACCATCCACGGGGCTCCCAGCTACCATTCACAGGGCTATCAGCTACCATTCACAGGGCTACCAGCTACCATCCACAGGGCTACCAGCTACCATCCACAGGGCTACCAGCTACCATCCACAGGGCTCCCTGGTTCTCGTATGTCCATCTGCAGAAAGTGCCGACAGCAAATTGTGTGGGGCCATACAAAATAAATCTCTTTGCTGCAGTATGAACTCCAAAAAAAAAACATTTTAAAGCTAACTTACATATGCACTGTCATAAAAACAACAAAACAGTGTGACATCATAAGAAGCAGACTGAAACAAGAAGAAAAAATCCAACAACTGAACCTCAGGCAAACAGATAAATATTTAGTTCAAATACATACATTGGCATTGTTTTACCTGCAAAAGGATTAGAAATTCTCTGCAGTCAGTCTTTTGATCCAGCAACCCCTATCAGACAGTATGGCCTGGGTCCTTCTGCCTTTTTTTTTTTAATTCCTGGAGTTTAATTTTAAAATTACAGACATTAATATATGTATTTAAAACTTCCAAATTGGAGCAGAAGGATACTGAGCTGCTTAGGTGAAATTGGCTTGATAATATCTACGTTATATTATTTAATGGCCTTTTTTTGGTGGGGGTGTATTTAGGGTAGTTCAGTTTACTTAGTGTTTATCCACCTCAACCACATGGACAGATACAGTATATTTTGGCATAAGCTTTCATTGTAAATGCACATCATTGCTTTTTGTAATACTTTATTAAATAACAGGAAAGATGCTGTATTATTGCTATTAAAACAGAACACAAGCCAAAAATAACAAGATAAAAGGCCCATTAAAAGATAAAGTAATGTAACCAGCTTTTGCTGCAATATTCAGCTTTAGTACAGAGATATCCCCAGCAGTATTTTTTTCTGCTGCTACAGTAGCTGTCCTCAATCTGATGGCCGGCATCATTCAACTCTCTTCCTCTGGGTCACCCTGGCCCTGCCACAGATCTCTCAGTCACTCTGCATTCTCTTTCTAGCAGCATGCTCCTTGTTAGCACATGTTAGCTAATCGGCTTCTTGTTCTCCTTCTTCCTCTAACACTCCAGCTCTGCTGTAAAGTCATTGCAGCCGGCTGATACCAGGTCAAATTCAGATACTTACACTGCTTGCATTTTTTTTTAAAACATTTATTAATGTATTAATGATTACAGAACATCATTGATTTGTGTTTAGCTTTAAATATTATTATTATTATTATTATCGCTGTCACTATTATTTATTTAGATCATTATATCACATTTGTAACTAGATAAGTGTGTATGAGACTCTCATTGGACACTAAAGAACAGCTCACTTGGTACAAAAAATACATTTAATAAATTAGCATTGAGCAGTATATGCATCGGATATTTTATTATTTTCCCACCCTGCACATAATATGACAAAGAACCATAGTATTGTTTTATTACCTCATGAATAAATCAGATTCATTTTTGGGTTTAATTACAGTATAAAAAACTAAGTGCGCCTTACAGCTGTAAAATGTACTGCTCTGTACTGTTGTCCTCTGCGTCAGCTATTATCTACAGAATTTTATAATGCACACAGTAACACATATAACTATACAGATTAAAACAGCTGCTGAACACACTATTGCCGTTATCACAGAAGGATTAAGTTTTTCAGTACTTTCATTTGGTGTTTGGGTTGGTTCTGAAGACTGGACCAGTGTTGTAGCTCTCTCTGTCTGATTGATATAATTTGTTATTGAAGACTGGACCGGCGTTGTGTACACCTCTGGTGGTGGAGGAATGAAGAGAGCTGCTTGGGCAATATTCGATATGTCTGATCTCTGAGAGGCATCATCAATAGCAACTAATGCAAAATAAAAAATTGTTCCATTTGAAATTGTTACGTTTTCTGGTACAAATGAGTAGGATTCACTTGATCCAGCTAACTTGGGGGTGACACTGGTCATGTTAACCTGATTTGATCCAATAAAGTTGTCTCTTAAATCTTTGGGGCTGGAGCTCATTCTTAAATCATACTCTGAAGCTGGAAAAGAAAATATAATAAAGTTAGATTCTAAAATCACTTTATACACTTTATACATTTAAACTCAATCACAGTATTTTTTTTATTTTAGACAGAGTTGGGAAAGGTTTAGATTTTGCCAAGATTTTTACTGCTGGTTGTGTCCCCATTCACACGACTGCGTTCAGTTCCAGAAAGTTTTTTTTTTTAAATTACTGCATGCACTATTTTTTCTGGACTGGAACCAAAACCTATGAAAACGCATGCACACAAACGCACAAAAAATTCAACTAAGACTAAAAACAGGAGCGACCTACCGGCGATGCAGCTGGTGTGGATGCCCCAGGGCTCAAGGCTGGGGGGGGGACTGAGCAGGGGTGGACTGGGCCGGGGGACAGTGTTGCAATTGCTCCTCTCTGATGCCCCTTAAAAATGGCCCCTGCCATCACAGCAGCTATCACTCATTTCTGAAGTGGTTCGGCTGTCTATGCTAACTGCCCAGTTCAGTAATTGGGCTCTTAAGCGGCCACCTGCAGCTCCCCCCCCACGTCAGCTGCTATAGGCTGGGAGGGATACTGCAGCACTACCATTGGTCAGCTGTATACTTCAGTAGAGCGGGTCCTGAAGGAAATGCACAAGGAAGTGGATTACACCACTGACCTCTGTACTATGCATTATACTGCTGACCTTTACATTACACCGCTGACCTCTGCATAACACCGCTGACCTCTGCATTACACCGCTGACTTCTGTACTATGCATTATACCACTGAGCTCTGTACTCTGCATTACACTGCTGACCTCCACACCCTGAGTTACACCGCTGACTTCTGTACTATGCGTTACATTACTGACCTCTGTATTACAACGCTGACTTCTGCACTCTGTGTTACACCACTGATCTCTGTACTATGTGTTACATTACTGACCTCTGCATTCTGTGTTACACCACTGTCCTCTGTACTATGCGTTACATTACTGACCTTTGCATTATGCCACTGGCCTCTGCACTTTGTGTTACACCACTGACCTTTGTACTATGTGTTACACTGCTGACCTCTGTACTATGTGTTACACAGCTGACCTCTGCACTATGAGTTACACCGCTGACCTTTGTACTGTGCATTACACAGCTTACCTCTGCACACTGCTGACCCTTGCATTCTGCATGATACCACTAAACTCTGCATTACACTACTGGCCTCTGCAGAGATCACTGGGGTGGTTGGGGAGTCAGTGAGATCCGGTCCCGCCCCCCTCCCCCCCTTACCTCGTGGGAGCAGGAGAGGGGCCCTGAGAAAAAAATCTTGCACCAGGGCCCTTTGTCTGCCACTGACTAAAAACCCACCCAAAAGCATCAAACATGTGTCAGAAAGGCATAAAAATGTACATGACTGCATTTCCAGAAACGTATCCAGATCTCGTCTGGAGGTGGTGTGAGCAAGCTCTAAAGAAATGTTAAGTAGATATCCAAATAGACACATAACTAACGTTTGAGATGTACAGATGTCAGATGTCTATAATACAATAGGCTGGGAAATAGGGTCTATAAGTATAACATATACTTAGAAATATATTATAAATATAGGTTTTTTAAACAGTGGCATAAATATTTGACCAAGTACCCTTTATAATATGTTGATTTTTTTAAATTAAGGATTGAATATATTCTATTGTAATAGTGCCATTTCGCAAATTATGTTTTTAAATGTATAACAACACACACAAAAGAAAACTATAGCAAAAAAATTGCTTACCTTGTCCTTCATCCAAATCATCACCAGTGGCTGTCCAGTAAAGGCTGATATGTCCATTTTCTATTTTAGCATCTAAATCTGATATCTTTTCAGGTTTAAAGATATCTCTGTTTTGGTATGATGCTGCTTGAGTCACCTCAAATGCTCCACCTGAAGCTGTCCTAACAAATGCCCCTAGATTAAGACCATCATCATCATCAACTGTTGCCCTTGAAGGATTCAGTGTGATTATACCTGCAATGTTATTAAATGTTAGAAAACAGAAATAATGACACATTCTGATACTTAAAGTGACATTACATCACAAAATCCCCTCCCAAATGTTAGTGTAAGGACTTACATTAGATGATGCCTCTTGATCTGATCATCTTCTTCTTTCCTGTAGTTTTCAGCTGTCCCTCCAGTGCTGGTGCCGGTCTCTGATCCAGCGCTGACTCATCTGTCTCAACTGCTTGCTAGCACTAGATATATGCAAAAACCGCTGAGGGTTTAATAACCCTTTAACGGCATTCTGCTTGGCATAAAGGTCTTTATCTTGACCACATAAACATAAGCTTCAGAATCTAAGAAGATATACTTCAGGTTTTTAATTGGTTTTCAAAAACCAGCTGTGTGCTGCGATTTGTGCAGGGTCAGGGCAGTGGGTGGCAAGAAGCTGTAGCCCCATGTCACTACCTGTGCCATTGCTAACTTTTCTCAGACTTTTACTCCCAGAAGTCCTTTCTGAATTTTTCTACTACTTTAGGCAAGAGTTGTCCCAAAGAAAGATTATAAAGTAAAATGTAATTAATAACAAAATCAATACAAATGTAAAAATCTATTACGGTTAGATGATGATGTAGCTGCTACATATTTACTTTTTTATTTTAGGGTTTATACACATTTTAAAATTCAACCAACATAGTTTCCAAGAGGATATAGAAAAAAAGGCTAGGCCAGGGTTTATAATTCCAGGCTGGGCAAATGTTGCCTTTATAATTAGTGATGAGCTGAACACCCCCGTGTTTGGTTCGAATTCGAACCTTAGAACAAGGGAAAAGTTTGAATTCGAACTTGAGCTCAATGCAAGTCAATGGGAGTAGAACTTTGAAAATCAAATGTCCCCATTTTGAAGGCTTATATGCAATTTTTTGGCCATAAAAAGGGTATGGGGACTCGGGTACTGCCCTGGGAGACAGGAATCAATGGAAAAAAAAAACTTAAAAAAAATACTGTTTTTAAAGGAGCAGTGATTTTAATGACTTAAAGGGTAACAATAAAAATTAAAAATCCCTTTAAATGTCATGACTGGGGGGTCCCCTTAAACTTCCTGTAAAGTGGCGCATCTGTACAATGTATAGAAAATGCTGCAGAAAAAAACAACATTTCTAAAGAAAAAAAAAAGACTTCTGTTTTTGTTTAAAGCGTGTGGTTCCCCCTCCCAAACAATACCAGACCCTTTAGGTCTGGTAGGAATGTTAGCAGGGACCCCATGTAAAAAATAAATAAATAAGTGTGTGGCGTTCCCCCTTAAAGTCATTCCAGGCCCTTAAGGTCTGGTAGGAATTTTAAGGAGGAACCCCACCCCCACAAAAGAGGGGTAAAAAAAACATGGGGTCCCCCTAAAATTTCCAACCAGACCCTTTATCCAAGAATAAGCCTGGCAGGGCAGGAACTGCAACAAACCAAACTATGCTCAGTATGCAGAAAAGATGCAGCCATGGCAGACATATTATTTGTGCAGACAATGCAGCAGCACTCTCGGGACTTAGGGGCCTATTTATATATGAGCTGTGGACTGGACAGGAGCCGGAACCCCCTCCCACTGGTATGTAGACCTGGACATTGTTTACTTTCAGGGCAGGTGGGAATCAGGAGGGATTCTCCATGATGCCCCACTTCTCCTGGTTTATAATATTGTGGTGTTGGACAGTAAGCATCTCCTTCACTCAATCTTTTACTGACATGTGGAATGCTTCTCTGATTTCCTATTGACACTATTTAGACTGAAAATAAAGGAGGTGTTTTCCTTCTGAGTGATTTTATGGCCCATGAGAGAGTTCATGGAATCACTATGTCCGCCACTTGGTTGCAACTAGTGAAAACTGGGTATAATTCAAATGTAGAAATGACTTCCAAATATAACAAGGTGGTATCAGTGCATGAAGTGGAGCTGAGGTTGTAATTAAAACACACAAGTGAATTAAAGGTAATCTTACCATTTTCCATATAACCAGGAACATACATTGCACCACTTTGGCGCAATGTCAAACGGCTTTTACCCTTTAAAGCTTGAACTCGCACACTTAGGCTGTGTCTTCCATCAACCTTAAATGCAGTGAAGTATTTGGAGTATACTCCATCATTCTTCACAATATCAGCACCTAAGACAAAAGAACAGGCAAATATAAGAGAATTTTAGAGTCAGTTCACCCAAAACTGATACTTCAGCCATGGGTAAATACTGGCAAGTTATGTCACCTTGTAAACTGTGGGGAATACTTGTCTGAAGATTGGTGTCTCGTAGCTTGTGCAAGTGATTTCTGTAGACTGTTCTGTGTTGTATATATAAGGCAAATAATGTATTTGATTGCTTCATTAGCATTACTGCAGCAATAGAGCCAGGAGATAGTAGTACAATGGGCAGAAGGGGTCAATGCTGCCTGGCATTTAAAAGGGTCGATAAAATAGAGTTATGAAGCAACAGGGGCAGAAATCCAAAATAACCCTTTTAATTGAGAATGGAATACAAAGCAATGTATTTCGGGAATCTAAGTACACCCCCTTCCTCAGGGCTTAAATATAGGGGTGACTGAACAGAATACGGTGCTAAGTGTTGGAAATGCAACAGCTTATGCTAATGTGCTGGTATCTCTTTTGGGCACTAGATGGTGCTGTGGTGCAGTGTTGGTCTTATGTATGCTTGTCTGTGATACACATTAAAGTGATCTCTGTATATAGGTTTTCTTCTCTATGATCTATATTTTTTTCTGTTTGATGTTGTCTTCCTGTGTACATGTATGCACCTTTCTTATAAGCAAGTAAAACTTAATTCAGCATTTTCTGAATTAAGGTCAGAAGCTACTATACATACAACATACAACACTAGCATTTAAAAATTGTTTGATGTTTAACACTTGCATCTGGACTCCACTGTGGGGCTACATTTATTTGACCATTAACTGCTTAGTTAGTGATAGTGTTAACCACCCAACTTCTTTTGATCTGTGTAAACTAAACTATTTTTACAATCATTATCAGTATATTTTCTCTGTTTATATTCTGCAGTACCCCTTCGATTCATTTCATACAAAAGTCTATTTACACTTACCTGCTCCATTATCCAGAAGCTCCAGGACAGTGGGTGCTCCAGACACTGGTTCAATAATCGCTGTGACGTTTACTCCTTTCACAGGTAACAAACCTTGACTCACTGATGCATAGACCACCATTGGGTAAGGGAAGTTGTTTTTATCTGTATTCATATGGGCCTTGACAGTAATTGGAGGCACATTTTCATCAGCTGCTTTTGAACTCACAATTAAACCTATGGACTGTTCTGATGCCAAATTGCAGAGGTTGTAATCCCATCGTCCCCTCTACAGAGGAAGAAAGAATAAAGTTATTACCTATGTTGGCATTATTATGTATATTAAAGCAGAACTCCATTAACAACTGTATTAGGCAAGAATGAATGGCTTGGGCTGAAAGGTATAGAATGTAAGTAATTTTTATCTCTATGCTCCTATCCCAACAATATTTTGGACTGAAGTCTTATTTTGTACTTGACTCATTTTCCTCTGTGCATATGCCTTCTTGTCAGAGATCTCACATAAGCTGTCTGGACCCATTACCCCCTGGATGCAGAAAGAGTCAGTGTATTATCCTGTAAGTGTTCTGACCAAAACTTTAAGCTGACGATAGTTCATCTCACACCACCGATCCCTGCTTAGTGCACTTTTATATGTGAACATCAGTGCGATGGCACCAGTTTCCAACTAATGGAGTTACAGTCCACCTTAGCCCTCACACAAACCTCCTTATTAGACAGTGCAGTAAAACCTTGTTGAGTTATAAGCAACCTAATAGAAAGAGGAGAGCATGGCTGCAGCCTCACTTTACAGGGGGCAGGCAGGGGAGTTGCAATGCTCTGATATTGAGGCACTGGCTCCAGCCAAGTGCCCTGGTATTTCAGGCATGCACAAACTACCTTCAAGAAAGCAACAAAGTGCAAAATGCTTGCGACTGGGGGAGTGTAGCTGCAAAGGGAGAAATTGTCATTTATTTTAACAGACCTACAGACATGCTTGGGTTCTGTTCAACTACTGGTGTTAGTCAGTAATATAGGCAAAACAACAGGCAGGTAGATGATCTATCTAGAGGTGAGCTATGCTCATTTTACAAGGTTAGAAAGGAAAAATTAGTGAGAATTCAGAGAGGGGAAAAGAGAAGTGATAGAGAGAAAGGAAAGGACAAGAGAACCCTGTTCACTGTGGCATTCCGCAACCTCATGTCTTTCTGTACCCTAAAAAAAACCTCTGGTGCAATATAGTAGCAGCCATAAAGGTAGAGGAGATATGTGATTGATGTTAAAGGTAAAGTGAGAAATTACTACTCATCTGATGAAGTTGGTCTCAGTCTACAACTACACGTACAGTAAAAGAAAAGTCAACCAACTAGACAACTTTCTCCTTATCTAATTTGGGCATATTTTTCTATCAAAACTTAGACTGTTTGATACCAAGTAAAAAAGACCTCCTTGCGCCATAAAGTAGTAAATTGAAATAAGCAAGGCAAGCATGTGTGAGAGAACCTCTATCCTCCTAATTTATGGAATTTCTGTGTATGCCACTGTAGGGTAGTGGGCAGGATTGAGGATTGCAGTATGCCTATCTGCCACTAGATGTCTTCGTAGGCAACAGTAAGTGACTGAGGGAGTCACTGTAGAGCTTGCTCTGTCCTGAGTGAGCTCTATGGTCCAGGGAGAGTCATATATATAGTTTTGGGCGGGGGAGCCGCCCAGGAGAGTCCAGTTTAGAGGTGTGTGCAGTTGGCACAGTAGAGGCAGACTAATTCAAAGCAGGCTGGTCCATGGGAAGGCTTACAATCATGGCCAAAAATATTGGCAACCCTGCATTTCTGTCAGATAATGCACCACTTCGCGCAGAAAATTGTTGCAATTACAAATGTTTAGGCATTCTCATGTTTATTTCTTTTGTTTGTATTGGTACGACACAAACAAATTCAGAGGGAAAAAAAGTGAAATCCGACACATTCCACGCAAAACTCCAAAAATGGACTGGACAAAATTATTGGCACCCTCAATTAATATTTAGTAGCACAGCCCTTGAAAAAATAACTGAAATCAATCGCTTCCTGTAACCATCAATTAGTTTCTTACATTAATTATAGAATGGGCATGCTAAAATTAGAATCTGATACATCGAGCTACACTCCGATTGTACAAGACCCAATAATGTCCATACTACATAAGCTATCATTGCTCGTAGACCTGGCCCTGAATCAGAGATGGATCTCTGAGGGTGTTACTGAATAGCTACATAATCGACATCCCCGTACACCAGTGATTTATGGACTACCAAAAATACACAAGGGATATGATCCACTAACCTACAGACCAATAGTGGCTGGCACAGGATTTGCACTGCAACCGCTGGCCATGCTCTTGGATTATTTTCTTCAACCACTGGTGAAAGCTCTTCCATCATATATAGGGGATACTAATGACTTCATCAACAAACTACAAAAGATTGATTCATTCCACCCCTACTAGATGTTACTCACCATAGATATTTCCTCCCTTTATACGTGCATACCAACAGCATTCGGACTGCAAGCAGTTGGCCATTTTCTTTCCCAAAGGGAGACATTGTCCGCTCCAACTGATTTTATACTGGAGGGGCTAAGGATGGTACTTGAAAACAACTACTTCAGATTTGAAAAGCAATATGTACAAACTAAAGGTACTGCTATGGGCAGATCTGCTGTGCCTTCTTATGCTAATCTCTTTGTAGGTTATTCGGAAGATTAGCATGTTTATCCATCTGAATTGTTTACCCATGTTAAATTATGGAATAGATACATTGATGATGTGTTTGTACTATGGACAGGACCCCTGGAAACTCTGCAGGTTTTTGTACAACATCTTAATTCTATGACAGAAGGGATTGTATTTAATCCTGAGGCCTCGCACACTATCATTGAATTTTTGGAAGTGTTAGTTGAGACAAAAGGGCATATCACTACAAAAGGTGTAATGGGATCCTAGGATTCAAGGCGCTCCCCGACTCCCCGAATCCCAAACTCTCCGTTTCTGATTGAGAGAGCCGCCTGGGATTATAGCCTGACAACCGCATAAAACAAACGGTTGGAACCGCAGCTGTGATCCACCTCACCCTTTCCACGGTCTGGGCCTGACAAAAGGGCATGTCCCTAAGTGCACATCCGGATAGACTCAGGGACACCTTGCCTGTCTCACAATTCATCAGAGTTATGCGCATCTGATCCGACTCTGCCAGTTGTGAAAAACTGGGAAAGATGTACCAGAAATTTTTGGAAAGGGGTTATCCCAATCACATTTTGGAACAAACATTAGAGATTGCTACAGCAAGATTCCATTCATCTAAACCGAGAGAACCTAACTCGAACGACGCACTACTCGTAGTCGTTACTCGTTTTAATCCACACTCCCATCACATCAAAATGTACATTGCAGCTCAATACTAACATCCTGACGGCAGATAGGACACTTACATCTATTGTTAAACAAACACCATGGGTAATATATTCAAAAACTATGTCTATCTGGGATTACTCGGTTTGTGATGATCCCTGTGACAAATAGGACACGCCAAGATATGCATTCTCAACCAAAAAGGGGTGTTATGTTATAACTGTAACGTTTGTAACTCATTAATTACTGGCGACTGTTTTTCCCATCCTCACACAGGGAAAAAATATTACATTCGTGGATACTTCAACTGCATCAGGGAATACTGCGTCTATATTCTAAAGTGCCCATGCTCTCTTATATATGTAGGGTAGACCATTAATCAGTTTAAGAAATGCTACCAGAGGCATAGGTGTGATATCAAGCAAGCAATTGAACTTAAGCGACAGGGTAAGGATATAGATCCGAACAAGCCAGTGGCAGTACATTTTGCACAGCACCACCACCACCAATTACACGAACTTAGAGCCATGATTATAGAACATGTACCTAAACCCCATGGGGGAGGCAATCGGGATAACATTTTGTTACGTAGAGAGGCCTTCTGGATTTACACATTGAACACAGTGAAGCGCAGAGGTCTGAATACAACATTATCATAATCATGTGTCTTTACTGATTGATTTGGGTATAAACGCCTCTCGACCTTACTTTGTGATACACACATGGACTTACTTCTCATAGTACAACCACTCTTACACTCATCATTAGTGATTATTTAGATTAATCACGATCATACCTGCATCATCCATTCGTCTATGTACGCATGGTTATTTCATTCTTAAGGGCACTTAATCTGTTTCCATTCCTGATTTGACGATGTAGATTGTGCTATACTTACCTTACTACATCATTAGGTTTTATAATCTATAAATAAGCCTTATTCATCTATTGAATCTATATGACCATAACATTTTATATGGGAAATATTCTCTCATGCATTCTTTAATATGTATTTAGCTTTGACTTTATTATGTATCTACATATGAAGTTCACTTATATTCTTTTTTCTTTATTTGTTTACTGTTCCTGTCTGGTGCTTGTCATTTGTTCATTTTTGTTTTCTCCCTTGCCCCGGTCGATAGTATGCATATCCAGCAGTCCGTTGCTTGGCAACTAGGACACTCTATGTGAACCCCAGCTTTTGTGCATGTGTTGCCTAATAATGGTCTGATTCCTGGCTAGTCCCCATATACGGTGCTGTAAATCCCGATTTTCCCGGCATACGCTTTATAAGATTTTCTTTGTCCGTTGCGGACTGGTTACCGCTGGTTGCTGGGCAACTTAGTTAGCGTCCTGTGATTGATCCCTGGGCGGGGACTTGAATATATTATGCTCTCTTTATGCACGCTGCAATGTTGCCATGGCTACCAGTGATGTGGGCAGCCCTTATGTAATGGTACCATTAATCTTTTTACCCGTGGGTCAAGATACTGCCGCCTCAGTTTACACTGCAGTTCACATGCCAGTAATTACAGCTCCCATACCAGTTACAATGTACACTCTATGTTTATGTTTTGTTATTGCTTAACACTGTGTTGGGCTATTGGCCATGTATCACTTCTCCATGTGTCTTGTTTTTGTTGTGTTATTCTGCATTTTTCAAATCATGGCAGGCTCTGAAGTCAATATGACGTCATGGGAAGGTGCTTAAACATCATTTTGTGTGCCTTGAGGTGTATATATTTGTGGGTTTCTGTTATTAACTTATTGTCACTATTTTGCCCTGATGAAGGGACCCTGCACAGCCCTGAAACGTTAGCTATGTGATATCTGTGACGATGTTTTTATATAAATGAACACCAAATTTTGAACGTCATTCTCCAAGTGCTGGTGATCTTCGTTTTCTACTGATTGATGTACACGGCGCCATCCGTGATTATCACTACAAGTACCACCATTGCTATTGGTCCTAGATGCTTTGAGGAGTGTGGGGGGACATATTGTAAAACTGACTGTAGGGACTGTATCTTTTTCTTTAAAGGCCTCATTTTGTTTTCTGAACATAGTAGAATGATGGGCTTTACCAAAGAGCTGTAATATTGTTTCATCAAAAAGCTGTTAATTTTATGTCATACCAATACAAAAGAAATAAACATGAGAATACCTAAACATTTGTAATTGCAACAATTTTCTGCGCAAAGTGGTGCATTATCTGACAGAAATGCAGAGGTGCCAATATTTTTGGCCATGACTGTAGGACCAGGTCTGCCACCATGTAGTCGCTGTGGATATCTGTCAAGCTCTAAGAGGGGGGTTTCTCCTGAAAACGAGCTTGTGGTGGGCTGGACTGCTGCTTTAACTAAATGGAGTGTATGTGGGGAGAGATCATGGCAATACTGGTTAGGTCAGGCACAGGTTGCTCTTAGAGATGGGCTCAGCCATGAAGGAGGGATGTGCTGAGATTCTTCCCGAGGCCATAAGTACCTTGAGAGCCCTGTGTTCAAAGTATTCCAGGGGATGTGAGCCACTACAAAGGTAGGCAGGGTAACAAAGAGTTAACCCCTTCGCTGCCAAGCCCTCTTTCTGGGTTTTTTTGTACACACGATATAATCCACATTTTAGGCCTAAAAATGACTTCAAACCCCCAAAACATTATGGGGTCTATTCACAAAACTGCAGAAGGATCTAGCCGTAGCTTCGGCTGATCCTTCGGCTTGCTTCGGGCCCCAGGACCCCTTCAGTTCATTAGAACCAATGGGCTGCTGTACGGGCTATGCACTATAGCCCGTACAGCTCCCGAAGTCGGCCGAGCAGCTCAGTCGAGCCGAAGGCATATGTCTCGGCTCGACTGAGCCGCGGTGAAAGGCGAAGCTGGCCGAACGGGCGATGGTACTGACAGTTCAGCGTCCCCTGGTTACTCGGTAACCAGGGGATGCTGATCTGTCAGTACCATGAGAACTCAGCAGAGTCGGCTTTTATAGCACCTCCAGCTCTGCTAATCGTTTTCTATTTTTTTTCTACTTTTTTAAACTGTTTGTCTATTCTGCTCGGTACCACAGAGGTACCGAGCAGAATAGCCGAGCCGAATGCCGCTCGGCGGCATTCGGCTATTCACTCACTGCTGTTCGGACCCTATGAGAATAGGCCAAACAGCAGCAAGTAGCCTGCCGGAGGTTCGGCTCAGCGATCCAGATGTTGGATTGGCGAACTCCTTCTGCAATTCGTGTCGGCCGAGTATGCTGAGCATGTTCGGCCGACCCGAATCCAGCCGCAGCAAGCCGATGTATGGCTGATTTCAGTCGGTATAAGGCTGAAATCAGTCGTACAAGCCTGAAGTTAATAGCCGAACAGCGTTCGGCTCACTTCACTTCGGGTCGGTTATTCACTCAGATGTTTTGTGAATAGACCTGTATATATTTTCTGAAAGCCAACACCCTGTAAAATAAAATGATGGCAGTTGCAGATTTTTATGTTGTACAATATTGGTGCAACTCTTTATTAAACCCATAAAATGTAGTGAAAAATGCACTTTAAGTTAAACAAAAAACAACAAAAACCCATTTTGTTTGTAAAATATGAGGTTACGACGAGTAAATAGATACCCAACATGCCCAGGTTAAAAATTGCGTGCGTCTGTGAAACTGTGACAAATGTCAATACACCAAAAAGACCATAGACGTTTTAAAAGCCCCTACAGGTTATCACTTAAGATAAATATTGGCCCTAGAATTATTGCTTTTACTCTGGCGTGTGTGGCCATACCCAACATGTGTTGCACGACCAATGTTTTTGTACGTAGGCGCACCTGATGCGTGTTTATGTGAATGTGCTCGCGGGGGACTTTAGAAAAAAATGTTTACATTTATTTTATTCTATATTATTTTTTTAAACTGTTTTTTTTTTAACTTTACTTGCCATCACCCCCCATGTGATAGCATATTGGCAGTGACAAGTCCTCTTTAAGGTGATACTGGGGGTCCAAAAGACCCCTAGTATCACCCTTCTACTTTAAATAAGCTATTGAAGTGTAGATTGCCCGGCTTCAGTAGCCCAGCAATGAGAGCTCAGGGACCTGAAGTGATGCAATCTGCGTCACTCCCGTTCCCATAGAGCGGGGAGGAGCAGGGGGGAGGGCACTTTACCAGTCCATAGAAGCGATCTGGCAGCAGCTGAGCCACCAGAATCGCTTCTGTAGTTAAGCCGGCAGCCGGCTTTGCAAAGGTAAACAGTCTGTTTACAGGGTCGCGCTGCCACTCACGTCCGTGGCTGTGAGGGGGTAATGGATGCCTGGTGCTGCACAGCTGAAACACTTGAATGGCATGCAGACCAGCACGTGACCACTGCTGGGATCTATAGGCTTATCCTGTTACACAACACCACTAATTGTATGATATACAAATAAGCCATGATGTCAAGATTTATGTTTGGTCAGGCACCTTATCATTGCATATAAACACATAAGATATCATGACATACTTCACACTTATAGCTTACCTCTGCTGTTCCTGGAATTTCAAGCCTTGATGATTTAGAGGTTGTGTCACTGGTGAAATTTACTGCAGTATATATTTGCCCTGTAGGATCTTCTAACCTTATATTTGGTACTGCACTTTGCCAAGTAACTACAAAGAAAGTATAATTTCCTATTGAGCTGTCAATGAAGATGCTGCCATTCAAACAGTCTCCTGGTTTAAGTACTGACGCCTTGCTTTCTAGCTGAAAGAAATATTTAGTGGTAAATATATTTGTATTGAAACTCAAGTGAACATATATACATACAATACTGTGTAAATGATAGCAAATACAGTAAACTCTCAGCTATCCAGTATTTAACTAACCAGAACTCTTATCTAACCAGAAAAAAATCCCTGTGTACTCACTGTTTTGCTGATCCGCGGCATGTATTATCCTGGAAACGATAATGTGCCTATTTGTCTTAAGTGTGTCCATTTGTCTTAATTTCCTTATCATTACTGCATTTCAATATTAATATAAAGTCAATACAGGTATGATATAGTATGGGGTATGACATTAGTTAGACCTATTCTTAATAGTAACTCTCAAGCAACCAGAAATTACATTTATGCGGAATCTACCAATTCCCGTGGATGCCGGGTAACATGGCAAAATGCTTTATTTTTATACAAACTTTACTCCTACCTAGCATACTCACTTGGGCACATAGTTAGAAAGCAATGAATGTGACTGTCATCAAATATTTACAGGTGGTGAATCAATCACTGTCATTTAAAACACGTGCACATGGGACATTCACCTGTAGTGAATGTTTAGTAAATACCATATTTACCGCTTTATAAATATGTGATAATAACCAGCAAAAATAAGTACTGGATGCAGCATGACAAAAATTAGAGCTTAATTCTGGTTGTATGATTAAAACATTTGCAAGCTGCAGAGAAAGAGTGGATAACTTAACCTGAGCTACAAAGAGTCTTTAATTTCTTCTCTGCAACAGATCAGATACACTGATGAGGTCCAGACTTCTCATTTTCAGGGACTCATTAAGGTTTTTTAAAGAGGAAAAAAAAAATACATTTGGAGGGTGGGGATAGAGAAATTGCTCTTTCCGTGTATTGTTCTAATAAGGGAATAATTTATGAATAAAAAGAGTTAGGATTATGATTGTTTCAGCTTTTGGTCAGACACATATTATATGAACTGGGGAGTTCAAGACCTGAGCTGAGTCTAGGGCTCATTGTATTATGAAAACAGGAAGCGCACAGCTCATCCCTATCATGTGTCCCCACATTCGGTGCATGAATGACTCTCTTCCAGGGTAATAGGCTCAAAAAATGTGGAACCAGCACACGATAATCCTCCAAAGTAATTCAAAATTTGCATCCTTCATACTCGGTGATCCTTTTCTGAGGAGCATGGAGCCTGACATTGCTGCTCTAATTTTAAAAATGCTATTTGTCTGTCAGAAAGTTGTAAATCTCTTGTTTGAATACTTTGAGTCACTGGAAGAAGTATGCAGATAAGACCTTACTTGTTTTGAACCTAACCATGCACCATTAGAATTTTGTTTGAAAAATGAATAGTTAATGGAGTCAAATCAACGATCTTTTTTGACTGTAGTAATGGAAACAAATTAAAGGAAAGGGATGGAAAATTATTATCAAACCAATTCAGTTCTAACAGTCAATGTGCTTTTCATTCGGGAAACGCATTCATTCCAAAATCGAATGTTAACCATAAAGAGAGTTTCAAATCACTTTCGTCAATTCTCTGATGGCAATTTTGAATGTTCTGCTGAGATTTTTCGTATGAATGTTTGTAGAAAAATCTACCAGTGTATGGCCAGGTTTACTTTCTTGGTTTAGTTGCTCTGCATCAGTGACATCTTTAGGAGAAGGTTCGAAATAGCAGTCCATATGTTTCTTTTTATATGACTCTTCCACCGAATATAGGAGGAATAAAAGTGACTGGTTCATGAGGTTGTGGAAGTTATTGGAAGGAGTAAGATTTGTGACGGCCAGGAGGAGGTGAAAGAAAGATATCACTTCCTGGTATTAGGATATACTATGGAGAGGAAAAGTTTGTATAGCATAGGTAATAGACTAAGAAAATGAATGATAATTATAATTTACAGTTACAATTTGATTCAACGTATTGTTCTACTAGTATGCACACACTTTATCAAGCATCAAAGAAACTCTTGTAACTCCCTTTGATAAATCAAACCATCTGCAGATGAAGGTGGTTTGCACAGATTAGATTTCAGCTGTTTCTCCGTTGTATTGGACAAGATTTGAACCGTGGGTTGCCCTGCCAGCACCCATTGAGCTGGGTGGAAATTTGATGGCTGAACAGCAATCGCAGCCAATTAGCTGCAGTCTCTGTTTGGGTATTTGGACAGCAGGCACCAGCTGTCAAAATACTATAGCCAGCAGGGAGATTCCTCCTTCAAAAAAAGTGACTGCATTCCACTGACATTTCAGGGACCCACAGGTTCACTTTCTCAAGGTGATCAGATATTTCCTTCTGGTTTGCTGGATATTCTCTACATCTCAGTAATAAAAGCCTGACAGAGCCTTTAATCCTCCCCTTCTCTATCCAAAATGAAATGTAAAAAAAACTTTGGTTGCAGATGGATCGCTCAATTTATAGGAATGTTCATGCAAGAAATTAAAGCTACTTTATTTTAAATTGAATCACCTGGATAGATTGTTGTGAAATATCCCCATTTTCAAAGGTAATTCCTGTAAATGCATCGATCAGTGATGTGGTGTCAACTTTATCTGTGGCTGAGAACTCTTGTCCTCCTGAAAAAAAAAAAAAAACATGTTTATTTTAAATTATTGTATAAAGTATTTTATATTGCACCAAAGCTTGCAGAGTTTTCAATATTATGTCTTTAGCATAATCATAGCTGGCCATACACGGATGGAATTTCACCCTTTTCCTGCTAAATTGGTCAGAATTTGAACCGTAAGGTGTCCTGTCGGCACCACCTAGCTCAACAAAAGTCACATTTTCAATCAAATTCTGTGTATTGTACAAAATTCGATCTATGGGTTGCCCTGCCAACACCACCTAGCTTGATGGAGCCGGGTGTAAAATGATTGGCTGAACAGGGACTGCAGCCAATCGGCTGGAGTCACTGTGTAGGTGTTTTGACAGCAGTGGGTGCCAGTTGGCAGAATACAATAGCTGGCCGAGCTGGACAGCATGGATTGTTGGAATCTAAAGCCCTCCCAGGAGGCTGGGCGCGTAAAATCTTAATGTGTATGGCCCACTTAAGGGTGATCTCACATTTCAAGATATTTTCCAAGTATAGTCACACGTTCTGCTGGTGTTAAAGTTGAGCTCCAGGCAGAAAAACTTTATTTTACTAAATTCCTCAATGGCCACAAAGGCTGATAATATACTGTACTTTGGGTGCGCCAAATACTATTGCAAACTTAGACGGTGTCTTGTAAAAGTAGCAGGGCTGCACATCATCACTGTGTGTTACATAGGCTGTGCAGAGAGCAGAGCTGTGGGAGGGACCCAGCAGGCCCTGCCCACTACAGGCTGCCTGCAGAACACTACAGGAAGGGGCGGATACAAGACCAGTCACCCTGTACAAGGAGAGAGAGCAGCCTTGACTGGTTTTCATTATTGGGGGCTCCTGCACAAAGATATAGAAGAAATACACGAAGGACACCGAGATCCATGTAAAAATACACATGCCTCTTTAGACCGTGTTTGTTTAGCCCGTAGTTCAGTTTTTAAACGATATATAAATTCAATCACTAAATCTCATATATACATCTTAATGCAATTTCTAAAGTCATTTTCAATCATTAAAATCAGCCACTTTCACTAAAATAGTACCGGGTGATCCTGCCAGGGAGGTCTATGTTTAGGCATTATAGAATAACAGTGCTCTGTCCCTGACTCCAAATTGAGTCACATGGGCTTCCAATGGAGACTACAAGTGACTATTCTAACATATGATGCAGGCATGGTCCACTGTTGTTACCATCAGAAATGCCAGGCAGGTATAGCTGGAACACGTGCATGTAGACAGCAAGTGGGAGCAAAGAGGCTGATGAAGATTAGCAGCACTGAGATTCAACAAAGGATAATAAAAAAAGGTCAAAATAGGTTGTTTTTTTCCCAAAAAGAATAAGATGATTGTTTATGAAACACAGCACTTTAGCAAACAAAATGCCATTCAGTTAGGGTTTTCATCTACTTCAGGGGCTGACTGGCAACTTTTGGCCCAGGGGGCAAGTCCAACCCAGAGGTCCATGGTGCAGTGACTCTGCACCCCTTTGGCAGCTTAGTGAATAGCCCCCTCAGTGATAAAGGAGTGTTCTGTATGTCATGAGGGGGTAAAACAAAAATTAACGACTGTATTTCGCGCTCTATAAGGCGCTCTGGACGACAGGATGCAGGGCTTCTGTGACAGAAATTCTGTGAAAGAAATTCTATCACAGAAGCTGCAGTTAGTGACCGCTGAGACAGGTGGCGCTGTCTCAGTAATCACACAGAGCAGACAAAGAACAAAGTTCTTCGTCTGCTCAAGGGGCTCTATGGTGAGCTCCTATGGGGGACCGTAGTCACGGTCCCCCAAAAACCACGGCGGGGGCGGACACGATCGCCGCCGCTTGATTTAATACAAGTGATCTAATAAGATCACTTGTATTAAACGAGCAGCGGCTCCCACTGTACATTCAGCTCTGCTCATCAGGAGCAGGGCTGAATGTACAAAAAACTACTCGCCCGGCGCCCAAAACTGCATGTCCCGGGCGTCGGGCGATAGGTATTCGCTCCATTGGGGGGGAAAAGTGCGTCTTATGGAGCAAAAAATATGGTATGTAGGGTGCAAAACAAATCTGCAGCTAAATCGCCTTAAGGGGTTAATTTTATAGTGATCTACTTTATTTGATTTTGTTTTTTACATTTTAACAAATCTCTCGGTCAGTGCTGACAGGGAAGAAGGGGGAATCAAGCAAAAACAGATATCGTATGGCCAGCTTTAGTTTTGGATGAACATACACTTTAACCTAAGTGATATTGCAGTCATAAGGTGAGCTTTTTCAGTTGCAGAATAAAATCACTTAAAATTGATGCTGCTACTTGATTTTTAAAAGTTTTAGAGGATTATTCGCAAAGCTGCCGAAGGCAGCCGTGTGAATAAGCGGCCCGAAGTGAAGTGAGCTGAACGCTGTTCTGCTATTCACTTCAGGCTTGTACGGCTGATTTCAGCCGTACACCGACTGAAATCAGCCGAACATTGGCTTGCTTCGGTTCAGCATGTTCGGCTAGCTGAAGCTCAGAAGGAGTGCGACTCAGCCGATCCAACATCAGAATAAAAAGTCAGTGAAATAAGTTGGAAAAAAAAGAGAAAAAGGTTTAAAAATGTAAATAAATTATGAATCTTTAAAAAAACAAAAAAACAATTGGGCGGAGCTAGCAGTGACAGCTAGCTCCGCACAACTGTTTCCTATTGGCCCAGGACCTGCTAGAGTCTCCTAGCAGGTCCCGGCCAATAAATAACAACTGGGCAAAGCTGGGCATACATTTATTAGATATAATAATATAGAATATTATTTGTTTAGAAAAACTGTTACAAAACCTTCAAGGTGTGCTGGTTTGCTGTGGATCCATTACCTGAGGTCTATCACAGAGGTGAGACAGAAGTACCCCTATATTCCAGCGGCTCCTTTGGGGGTGAGCGCTACAAACAGCTCAACAGGCATTTTTAGGAGAACACATGTATGTTTTACAGTGGAGGATGTTGTCCAATACCAATTTTTGTTGCACTTCCTTGCTTAGGCCAGTTGAATTTGTTTGTATAAACCTTGTTATATAAATGGCAGGAATGGACTAGCTCTGGGTGAAATGTTTTTATAGTTAAATAAGGCTATTTTTTCCTGCCTCCTGGGGAGGGAAGTGAAGGCTTTCCCTTCACTTCCTTTCCTAAAAGGTACAATAGGAAATAAAGTAAAATCTCTCCAAAGTGAACAAATTCCTATCTTAGAGCATTGTCCTACTGAAAGATTTTCCATCACGTCTTGCTCTGTAAATTTTGGATTTTCTCTGCATCTCTGCGTAAATGGTCACCAGGATAATTAACCACTTTAGGATCATATGACGCACTTGTACATCCCAGCTTTAAATTCTTGAAATGGTTATACCAAGAAAATGGCTGGTGCTGCTGCTGCAGCCATTATCTTGGTATCGTTTTTTTCAGCAGGCGATGCTTTATACATACAAGTGATCTGGGCAGCTGTACAACCACCCAGAGCCGGATTTACTCTCCCTGCCGCCCCAAGGCCAGGTTCCTCTGTATAGATAGCTCCTCCCTTCCTCATTCTGGTCCAGTTCT